CCTCCTGCTGGCTACATCCACATTGCTTTTTAGTAGCAATAAGCAATTTGACTTTTTTTTTCTCTTTATTTCCCAGTCTAGACTACAGCCATGGAATTTCCTGATGGTTTTCCATCCAAATACCAATCAGATCCAATATCCTCATTTTTTTGATAATGAGCCAAGGTTTATGAGGCACTACCAGCTGCTATTGTTGTAAGCATGTGCACAGACACACATGGATGCACACAAATCCTGATTTTTTTTGGGTGGGGGGGACCTTCAAGTCAGTGTTGACTTCTGACAATTGCCTGGACACAGACAAAGGGTTGGGACAAATAAATTGCAGAATCAGTGCCTTTCATCTCCAGAACAACCGGTAACTTGGTGAAAAATTTTCCCCTTTAAGAACTGATGTATAAAGTAAACATACAGGAGAGTTCAAAATATAGCTTGTACCATTTCAGAATGGTTATACAAATGTTTTGGAAAGAATGAGGAAAGCAATAAAAGGAGAAGACCACACACAAACTCACATGTACATGAACACTGTGACATTCCATGTTAGAACTATACATTTGTAAAATACAAACCACAGCTGAGCTATATGCCAAAGATAATTAAAATATTACACTGGTAATGCTAACTAGTTGGGTAATGAAACATCTGCAAGCAAACAACTAAGCTTAGAGAGCACCAATGACTTCCTAATTAATCTTTTCCCCTTGAGGCTAGATGATTCTCACCTCTGTATTTATATAGGCCAGGGCATAATAAAATCCTAATCCTGATCTGGTTTGTGGATCACTAACAATAAAAATGTACAAAAAAAATCTATTTTATGGCATTTATCCAAGATCAGCAAAGTTAATGTTTCTGTTGGTTCCTGGGGAATTGACCTCTTATTCTTAATGGTGCTTAAACAAAGAAAGAAAAATGCCAAAGAATGGAAAAAACAGAAACAGAGATTAAATGGAAAGTTGTTTAAAAAACGAAAGTCCTTTTATGGTTCTATTCAGTCAATCCCCAGATAATATGCCAGGTTCTTCAGTACAATTTGGTTTCAAGGTACTATCTTAAACTTTGGGACTAATTGTGATTCCACCACATGTGATAAAGCAGGTTTTCCAAACCTGGGCACTTCTCAGTGTGTAGATTTCAACTAAAATTCAGAATTCTCAGTAACGGATGTGAGTTGAAGTCACATATTGAGAGAATACTCAGGTTGGTGTAGTGAACTGTGTGCTTAGCTTTCCTCATCCTAGTGCCTGGCCAACAGTTCCTAGAATTCTAAGTCAATAAAATCACTATGGATAACTTGTGATCCTTGATCATTCATACTGAATTCTTCATTAGCACTCCTGCATCCAAACTAGAAATGATGTTACTTGTGAAATCTGCAATATCAATACAGCTGACCAGGATTGATGTAACAGTGAGATAGGCAGTATCTAAATTTAATAAATAAATAAGTAAGTAAAATACAATATGCATTGTGTTGCAATATGCATCAACCAATAAGAAAGTCACATCCCCGCCAATACTGGAAGGGCAAGCTTCAGTATATAAACAAGAAGTAAATCCCATACTCACTCATACTGATATTACCTACTTCGGTAGTGAAATGTCTGCAAGCAAACAACTAAACTCTAAAAGCACCAAAGATTCCACAATTCAACCCTCAGTTACAGATATTCTATTCTAATTGGCATCTTGCTCATTAGACAAACATCAGTCAGACTGCAGACCAAATGGATGGGCAGGAGGAGTTCAACTCTTTCTCTTCATCTTCTATTAACAAAAAACTTTTCCAAATTTATCATTTGCATTTTAATATGTGACTTATGCTTTTTATTGGAGTCTCCAGTTTCTGATAAACAAATTAGTTATTTTCTACTTTATGAGTACACTTAAACCAGCCCTCCCCAAACAAATGCTCTCTGGAAGGGATGGACAGGTTACCATAAAACTGACCCAGTATAGCTAATATAGCTGAGAATTACGGGAGTTTTAGTTTGGTACATATGAAGAACATACACTGAATGAAAAGGATCTGAACTTTGAGGAAAAGAGAATGTAGAAAGTTAGGCATAGAAGGGACAGGCAGACTGCTACCGGAAAAAAAATTGTTGCTATTAGTGCTTTTCCTGTTCTGCTTCTGCATGGCATTAACATGGAGATGCCATTCTTGTGTAGTGGTTTAAGTGCTGGACTAGAATCAGGAGACCGTGAGCTCTAGTCCATCCTTTTCGTGCTGAAGTTGGGTGGTGACTTTGCTTCAGACACTCTCTTGACCCAATTCAACTCACAGGGTTGCTGTTGTGTGAAAAATAGAAAGAGAGAACATTATGTACATTGTTGTGAGTTATTAAAAATAAAATGGGGATATAAGTCTAATTAATAAATAAACTGATTTGTGAGTGTGCCCCTCACTATGGGTAAGATGATTGGAGAGTTTTTTTTTCCTGGTTTTGTTGCTATCTTCTTTCAGCATGTTATCAGCTTGTGTGTGTGTGCGGGGAAGGGGGGGAAACTTTCATGAATTGCAGCAGGATTGGGGCAGGTCTTATTTCAGGACTCTGCCTAAGTTCTCTAGATGGGTGTAATTGTATGTGTGTATGGCCTTGGAAGAAGAGTCAAAACTCAGGCAATAGTTATAATAAATGAAATGTGAGACTAAAGGAGGGCTGGGGTGGGAAAAGCTCTTAGAAGAAACCCTCCCTAGTTTTGAGAAGAGTAAAAGTAAGGGAGGGGAGAGATACTTTTAGGCTTGCAAGGTTCTTCAACAATAAAGCTCTTGTGTTGGTGCTTCTGGTCTGAATTACCTCAAAAAGCTGACAGTGAGTTTCTCCACCTTCTCCTTCAGTATCCCAGCCGGGTGCCTCTCAAGTTAAAATAAAATGAAATAAAGACATGGGTAAAAAGATGCCAGAGCAGAAATAGTCCCAGGGAAGAGAGAGGAATATAGGTCCTTTACATTCCTGACCAAGGCAGGAAAATTTAGGACTAAAGCATTCCTAATAATAATTGTCTAGCTTCTACTAGTACAGGGGAAACCAAACTTTCAGCTTTATGGAGCTGTTAAAATTCAAAACAATGGTGGGCAGTAGAACGTTCTTTGTTTATTTTATTTAGTTATTTGATTTACAGCCTGCCTTTCTACTCTGGCAAGTTCTCAAGACAGCTGGCAAACATTAAATCCAAATCTTACATTTAATTAGAAATAAGAATTGGCTTATTTTGACTCAGATCACTGGCCCATTATTCAGCACTTTCTACCTAAGTTTCAAAATGTTCTGATAAAATAAGAATTCTCTGAACACTATAACGCTACTTCCTCTAAGTGGAAACTACAATTTCTTTTTTTTTTACTATATTTAAATATTATTTTTACAGCAAAGGCCTCAAACACAACTTTCAAAGAAATAAAATCCAAATGATAATATATCTTACAACTTTCAAAGAAATAAAATCCAAATGATAATATATCTTAAGTCAAGTCACAATAAACACTTACAAGGCTTAAGAAGCAATAGTGCAAAAAACAATGACATGCCAAAGAAACATAAATTGTTTCAAGCCAAAAATCTGACAAAACAGTCGCTCAGTTATTATATTGTAGAATGCAAAATGAGGAAAAGTTTGATGCTTACAATCGGCGACATTTGGGTAAAACAAAATCAAGTGGAGGTGTGGATACTCTATTGAACGCTGCATCAATATGTGTGCCAGGGTGATGCTTGTTGAAAGGGACAGAAATTTGATTGTAGTCGTGCCTGTTATCTTGATTTTTTTTTAAAAAAAAACTTCTCATGGATGCCTATGCTTATAGTCCCCACTAGGTTTGGCAAATATAAGAATGCAATGAATGTGATTCTTGGGCCAGTCAAGATTTTGCCCCATTCAGGAGAAATTATACTTATAAACAGGCAACAAACCCTCACTCACTTGTTCTAATGATGTTACCTAGCTGGGTAATGAAATCTCTGCAAGCAAACAAGCTCAGAGATCATAGAACTGCACAGTTCAACCATGAGTACAGATATTCTGATAGTATACATATGAATTCATATTTATATCTGTCTGTCAACTACTACTAAGACACTGTGTAAGGCTGTAAGCAACATACCTCCTCTGGTTTATAGCAATTGAGAAAAACCATACAACCAATTCAAACATCCAGGGTAAATTTCATCAAAATTAAAAAAGTTTTTTAAAAATACAACTAAATATAGAACTATACAAAATAAAATACAAAATATGGAATACAACAACTACATTTATTTAAAATGTGGACAATCACGCAATATTTATACAGTAACACATGTTATGTCACTTCTGTGTTGTAAGTGAAGAATGTTTGAACTTTCTTAGACGGACTGTCCACTAGTGCTGATATTGATGTTCTTGTTGTTTTGAGTCCATTTTAATTCACACATTTATTTAAATAAATTTCAATCTTTCTTTTCTGCTTGATGCTTTCATTGTCCTGTTATGTCTCAGTATTAATTGAAGAATGATACTTTCTACTCTACAGTATTGTTCTAACCCCTTGCTGCTTCGCCATCATCACCATCATTTGCTTAGCAGAGACAGCCACAACATAGGATAGAATAAAAATAGCTACTTGGCATTAGATCTTAGCTATCTTGAAATATCAGGAAATGATAATTATTTATCTTTTAATTTTCTTCTAGCAGGGACAAAGAGAGATGGGTGAAATTATTTTTATTTTATTCTGAAAAAGGGCTTTGATTAATGAGATAACTTGCACTTCCACTGGGGGGGGGGGTGTCTGCGTGTGAGCAGACGCTACTATTGCTCCACTTCAGGCATTATTTAAAAACCTCTCATGTTGAAGGAAGGCTGGGAAGATGAACATCTATAAACGGCAAGCACGAGTTCCTTGGTAACTCTTCACGCTCAGAAGAAAAACATTTATTGGCGCTGTCTGAGGCCGGCGCCTGTGGCGGAGCGTGTCTCGCTCGGAGCAGGCAGGCGTTATTTAATAACCCTAGAGACTTAACAGGCCGGACCTTCCCGGCGGAGTCAGTCAGGCTTTCCGCAACAGACTCCTCTCGCAACGCGTCCGCTAACTCAGCCAAACGATCCCGGCCGGCCACCGGAAACGCTCTCCAGAGATCCCCGGGGCTGCAGCGGCAGAGAGCGAGGGCGGAGTGCCAGGGGCCGTGGGAGGAGCAGGAAGGCGGGCAGCCTTCACATGGCCCAGGGGCAACACAGGAGCGACCCACGCTCTCGCTCCCAGTCGCTGCAGCCTCGGGCTGAGCGAAACGAGCGGCGTGCTGGAAGCGGCTGCTCGCTCGGCGCGCGGGATTCGTACCTGATTCCGAGACACAAGAGGCTCTTCGCGAAAACCGCCCGGAGCATCCGGGAAGCGCGACGCCTTGGCTTCGCCCCAGAGGCTTCCGAAAGCCGGCAGTAATATAGTCTATACTGATTGATCCTGGAGGTCAGGCGTGGAAGGAGCTGGCGGCCGCGATGCAACTTCTCCGAGGTTTTCTGGTAACTCTTGCTCTGCATATGGTGGGCGCGCAGGTAAGATGCACGTCGGAACTGACAATTAATCGTTCCCGATCTCTAGCGGGATAGATCTGTCCGGATTTGGGGGGTGGGTAGGTGCGTAGCCTGCTATTTCGCGTCCCAGTGTTCCTGCTGGGCATGCGATGCCCGAATCCGCTACTTTCCCATGCCGCACGCCTTGGTGTGGTGGTGGGGCTCGCGATTGTATTCCCTGCTTTTCTCAGAGAGGATGGAGCGAAAAATCCCTGGCGGTCGGCGCTGTCTTTCTTTACTAAAACGAGAAGAACCAACCTGGAACGGGAACGGAGTTCGGAGGCGTTTTGCTCAGGGCTCAGATTTGTAGAAGCTACACTGTCAAGTGTTTCGCAGATGAAGAGCGGAACATCAAGGCCCCCAATTAAACTCCCCATCGTCATATGCGTAACTTTAAGTCATCTGACCTGAAAGCCTAGTTGTGTAGGAGGTGGTTAGAATTACTGGGTAAAAGAGTAAGATCTGCTCAAAAGTTGCAAGGTAGAACTTCAGCACTAAAGAGCAGAAATGGGGACTTGGATAAAACTTTTGATGTGGTAGAGCAGGACATAGAATCTACCAGGCTTGGAGAAAGGGGTGGAGGCAATTCCAACACAATCTTCAATTTAGAAAATATTGATACAGTAATTTTGATATAGATATGGGCACAACGTGATAGAGAACCAAATTTCAAGTTTAAATTCAGGAATGTTTTGTTAACATTCTTTAACTGCCCTGGTATCATACTGACGTACAGTATGATACGTCAATATCATATGGATATATCTTTTCCAACCTTCTCTACAGTTTCTTATGAATGAAATGCAGATTCCAGACCCATACCATAACCAGAACATGGGATCCTCTTTTTATGTAGATTTTTCAAGCTTTTACAAAAGAGAAATTCAATTATCTCTATTTTTATAGCAATAGCAATAGACTTATATACTGCTTCACAGTGCTTTACAGCCCTCTTTAAGTGGTTCACAGAGCCAGCATATTGGCCCCAACAATCTGGCTTCTCAATTTACTGACATCAGAAAGATGGAAGGCTGAGTCAACCTTGAGCCGATGAGAGTCAACTGCTGAACTGCAGGTAGCTGGGAACCAACAGAAGTAGCCTGCAGTACTGCATTCTAACCACTGTGCCACCCCGGCTCATTTTGCAGTTGATGTTTTGCTATCCCCCCAAGTATTTCTTTTTAACTCATCTGTAAAGTTGTTATGTCCACACACAGACATTAGTTAATGGAGCCAGGGGAGTCCTGTGCAATAAAGTCCCTGAGGTCAAGAACAGCCTGGCTAAAAGCACCACAGGGTAAAGAGGTTTCTGGAATAGAGTGGTGTATGTTTCACAAATGATTTGGAAGAAATGCTCTAAAAAATAAGAGGGTTACATGCAGTGGAGGGTGGCAGGGGGTTATTCATAGCTTTACTATCTACAACTTGAATTTTTTTTCAAGTTGAACTAGATTCCTGATACCTACATGGACACATTTGTGTTGTTTTCATGGAAATTAAACAAGTGATTTGTCATTGCTGCCTTTATTTTATTGTTACACAGGATAGTTTACATCCCTGACATTTCTAACTGATCTCTTACCAGATAGTAACCTGGTTAGATCCTACATCAGGCATAGTACAACAAGAAAAGGGAAGGAAAGAAGGAAGGAAAAAAGCAACTTAAGAAAGTTGGTTTGCTTAATGATCGGCTGTATACAGTTGAGCACTGCTTTTTTTGAGGAAAAAAAAAGTTGCCGGAACTCATACACATCATACAACCCGCCTTGCCTAACCTACAAGGTTCCATCCAAAAAAGGTGCCGGAACTCCGTTCTGGGCGTTCTGTGACAAAAAAAGCCCTGCAGTTGAGAAAGAAGAGGTGACTGATTTTTCTGCAGAACTGTTGGAATGGCTCTGTTGGAACTGCTGGCCCTCCTTAAAAGAAATGACTGTTGCTGAGTGCCTTCTAGCCTCAGTCTGCTCCTTGACACCTGATTGGCTTTCTTCAGCTCAACACCCTCTGTGGTGTTAGACTATGGCTTCCAACATTCCAGCTGGTCTGGTCACAGAGACTGAGAACATGGAGATTGTAATCTAATGCATTTGGACAGCATCAGATTGCGAAAAAAATCCATTAGTTTCTGAGGCAGGTCTGAATTAAATTCAGCCCATGTTCTAAAAGTAGTATCTGGTATTAGTCAGTAGGAGTGCCTTAGATTTTAGTAGCTCATTACAATCATTCATTGGGTCAAACTTCAGTTGACTGAAAAAACTTTTAAATGCAGTAATATTGGATGGCCAGCCCATCCAGAGTGCTCCTTAACATATACAAACAATCTACAGATTATTCTCTGACTAAAACAATAGAATGTATATATAAAACAGATAATGGATTATTGTTGTCAACCTTTGTTATTTGGTGTAAATGATGGATCATTTTTCATTTTTATGCAGGGCAGTGAATCAAATTATTAAATTTCAACTATATACAGCTGTATTTGTGCTTATGTAAGCATTTCTTATTGACCATTGTTATGAATTAGTATGAGTTCAAAATTATAACAATCAAATTAATCAGCTGACTGAACAAAATTTGGGAAAAAAGTAATCTTTCTGTATGTAGAGACTAATCCAAAGTATGTTTTTCTTTTACCATACTCTTTTCATATTGCTATTTTCATGCTTAATCTTAGGACTACCAAGCTGCATCTCTAGGATTTAATTCTATTTTGTCCCTTTGTCTTCCTTTCTTCTATTCCATTTGATTATTAAGGACTCTTCAAATCTTCCTCCACTCTTATATAAATGTTATAATGGCCAGATATGGGAAACTGTGTGTTAGACTGACACCTAGTGTTTCTAGCACAAAGTTGGGAACTGCAAGGAGACAAGATAACATCATCAAATGATTCATAGCAAGATAACTATTAAAAATGACATATGCTGAATCTAAAAGTTTTCTTCTATATATCTGATTGAGTGGTGATTTTCTCTTATTCTGTGTATGTTTATGCCAGAGCTAACTCAAGACATTTTGCTGTTTCTCATGAAGGACAACTGCATACACAGAAACTAATTTGACTAGTAGTTAAAAGTTATTTCTATGCTGGCAAGCGAACAACATCCTTCATCACATTTGAGACAGTAAATAGTGTTAGAATATTCCATCAGATTAGAAACACAAGTAGAGTTCTGCCCTACATCTTGACTATTGCAACACGCTCTACATGGGGCTATCCTTAAAAAGCATCTGGAAGCTCCATTTGGTTCAGAATGCAGTGACCACCTGGTTTTGTGCATACCTCAGTGTGCATATGTGTCACCTCTCCTATGGGAGCTGCATTGGTTGCCGATTTGCTTCCACATGCAATTCAAGGTGCTGGTTGTCACCTTTAAAGCTCTTCATGGCTTGGGACCAGGTTATCTGAGGGACTGTCTCTTGCTGGTCACATCTACCCAACTCACTAGAGTGGGGAGGCAAGGAATGTTGTGGTCCCATCCCCTAAGGAGATACATCTGGCAGGGCCCAGAAAAAGGGCCTTCTCCATGGTGGCTCCCTTCCTCTGGAACATTATCCCTCCAGAAATTAGATTGGCCCCCACTCTGACACTCTTTCAGAAGGTCTTGAAGATGTGGTTTTGCCAGAGGGCCTGGGGAACCCTGAGTGGGATGGAGCCCATTAAATGGCTGATATGAGTGTGTGTTGTTGCCAAGAGGGAAGGGGGCAGTTATTATTTTATTTTTATTATTATTTTTATTTGTTTCTATATTGTGTTTTATTTTCTGTAAGACATTTAGAGTTGGCGTGAATGAGTAGATGGCTATATAATTTTTCCAAAATAAATAAAAATAAATAAATAATTCAGGGTCATCTGGCCTGGCGACTTTTGCTACCATCTCCCCATCCATATGTAGCGGGGGGAGTGAGCTGAAGAGGCAGCTCCAGGAGATGCCTGGGAGGAGGACTCAGTGAGAGGGCAGAGAGGAGTTGAGGCTCTGCGGAGGCCTAGCTTGGGGGGGGGGGCATGAGCACCAGCTGAGGGCAGAGCAAAAACAAAACAAAACAAAACAAAAAACAAGGCCAGCGAGGGGGAAGGCGATAGAGAGGAATGGGAGAAGCTTCCGTGGGGTAAGCCTGAGACAGAGAAAGGGATAGGCTTGCCCCATAAAAGCCTCTTCCCTTCTATCCCTTTCTCTCCCTCAGGCTTATTCCACAGAAGCCTTTCCCCTTCTTTCCCCTTCTCTCCCTCAGGTTTGCCCCAGCCTGAGGGAGAGAAGGGATAGAATGGGAGAAGCTTCTGTGGGGTAAGCCTGAGGGATAGAAGGGGAGAGGCTTTTATGGGGCAAGCCTGAGGGAGAGAAGGGGATAGGATAGGACAGATTTCTGTGGGGTAGCCTGAGAGAAGAAAGGGGATGGGATAGGCGAGGCTTCTATGGGGCAAGCCTGAGGGAGAGAAAGAGATAGAAGAGGAGAGGCTTCTGTGGGGCAAGCCTGGGGGAGAGGGATAAGGATAGGACAGGTTTCTGTGGGGCAGCCTGAGAGAGGCTGGCACCACCCCATCACATGACCCACCTGCTGGAAGGGACTGATCACCACTTCACCACATGACCCAGACAATCAGAGATGCCTCACTGAGGGACCACTGTGGACCGGCAGTCATACCAAGAGGGCCAGGAGAATCCGGACTCCAGCAGCCCTTTCGGGGGTAGCGCTACACATATTTTAACTAAACCTGAAAAGACATCCAATAAATCCATAGATTATTTTAAATCTTCCATTCTGAAGGTGGAAAGAGCTGATTTGAGAGTGGGATATACAGTCAGAAACCTTCTTGCAGACAAATGTCTAGGATCCTTTTTCTCAGATTGTGATAATGTTAAAAAGCAATTTTCCATGGGTATGTTGGGACTCCAACTGTGGGATGATTGAATCCTGTTTTCTTGACCCATCCCCAGTATTCAGAAAAACATTTGCCGCTATGATGAATTCCTTCCCAAGAGGGAAAACATAAAAGTAAGTGAAAAGAGTATGACAAGGATCATTTTTCCTATCCTTATTTTCTGCTGGAATAAGCTTGGCAGAACTTGGAAAGGCATTGTCTTTATTTTTAGATTTTTTACCAGACCATAGGTAGACTTCTCCTGTTGTTAATGGATGAACGAATGTTTGAACTTTAGCAAACCCTGAGATGAAATTAATGGACACTTCCCTTGTGTTATAATTTATTTAATGAAATAAGAAGACTGTCATATATCTCTGAATTCAGTTTTGTAGACACTGAGATGAATTAAGTTTGCTACTCCCAGGATTCTCAGCTGTAAATCATTTGTACTGAAAAAGTCTGGTTGTTACAGTTCCCAAATATCTTGGAGAAGGGTTATGGGGCATGTTATGTCAACCTTTCTACCTTTCTGTGTCTGGAATGTATTGGAAAAATTATCTTTCCCTCCTTTTCCCCTCTATTCCCAGAAGAAAGACGTGGTTCTTCAGAACAGCACTACTGATAGAGTAGGTGAGTATGAAACATGTGAACCATGACCTTCTCTTATAGTGTGAATTTGGACTATCTATGTTTGTCTGTGTAATCTATACAGTAATGGGAAGAGTCTTGGAGGCTGCTTATGTGTTCTGATGCTACCCTTTGGATTTCTTTTTAAAACCCTCACCTTTTTTTGAGAATCCCTTGACCCAGTCTACAACTTCACCTCCAAGTTTTTCCTTTTCCTTTTTCAATTACTACTTTGTTTACTTAGATCATAAGGTCTGAAATAGTTGTAATCTGTAGAAATTGATTTAATAAAGAATGAAAAATGCTATGGTTCAACTAGTATTTTCTTTGGGGAAAAGCAATAGGAACAAATGCAAGATTTTCCTCCATTTTCCACAGTTCCAATAATTTTCACATTCCCAGCAAATACTGCTTGTATATTTTTTAGTCTTGCTAACTGCAAAGAATTAGTTTACTGTTACTTTTAATATAACTGATCTTGTTTTTATCCACAATTTACAGTTAAATGATTAAGATTCAAAGGATTAATGGAAAATACCTTTGTTCAACATTTTAAAGAACCATGGCTATTCAATAGATGCAAGACAGACATCATTGTGCAATGAGTAATAATTCTTGCCCTTCAAAAAAAAGTGTGTTGGGTGAGGTCAGGGAATGAGATCTCATAAAAACTTGGAACTTTTTCAATATTTCCTCGTTTGGAGGAATTTTGATTGGACTCTTAAAATGATTGCAATTTAACCTGTGAGGTTATAGGCATCTTTTTTAAGGGCCAGTAGATCTCTAATACTCATGAATGATGTGTTGCTAACCTTGAGGGAAATGGTACTGAAATAGAGGCAAGGCAATGTCATGAGTCATAAGATGTAAGGGATGTTGGAGAATATCTTGTTTAATTCCCTGCATAGTGCAGGAATCTATTGCTATAGTATTCCCAGCCTCTGTTTAAAGCTTTTCAGCAACTGAGACTCTACCATCTCCAAAGTCTTGTACAGCTCTTGCCAACTAAATGTTTTTCCAGATGTTGGACTAAAACTCACACCCATGTAATTTAAGCCCATTATTTTTGTCCTCTTCTTTGGAACAATTCTGAAAAATTCTGTCCCATCTTCTACATAATAGTCCTTTACATATTTGAAGCAGCTATCAAGTCTCCCTGCAGTCTTTTCTCCAGCCTACACCTACACACCACCTCCAAATGTTCTTCAAAGATTTTTCCTTCCAGATCCTCTGTCTTTTTGGTTGCTGTCCTCTGGAGACATTCCAGCTTGTCAAAATCTTTCCTAAAATGTGCCCAGAACTGGACACAATATTCTAGTGCAGTCTGACAAATATACAAGTGAGAGACACAATGTACTTGTACTTCCTGCATTGGATATATGAAAGAATTGGCAACTAAATACTTTACTTTTATACTTCGTTTCTTTTGTAGTGGTATCCTTTTTTGATGTTTGGAATCGCAGCTCCTGCCAGCCCTTGGAAAAACTGGTCAGTGTTGTATCAGAATACCCACATGAAGTGGAGCATGTGTTCAAACCTTCCTGTGTTTCCCTGCGTCGCTGCTGTGGATGTTGTAGAGATGAGGCACTGCAATGTGTTCCAGTGGAAATGGCCAATATCACCATGGAGGTAGGTGAGAACACTATAGTTCCACTTATCCTGGAGCACAGGGTCACTTCCTCATCTTCTCTGCAGTTAGCTGCCAATGCTTGTTTGTTTCATGTAAATGCAATTCAGAGTTTGCTGCTAAGAAGCTAATGATCTGTGGGGAGGTTCCCATAGCTTTTGAATGAACATCTGGAGCTGTTAAAAACGTATACTATTTTCCCATCTTTTCAAAACCCTACAACTCCATTGTGTAGGACAGTATGATGGTACACTTCAATTCCCAGGAATTCTGGGAGATGAAGTCCACACATCTTAAGATTGCTGACATTAAGAAATGTTGTCTTAAGAGAAACAAAAGCAGTTCTGCCATGGAGTCAGATGAAGGAATTGCCTTAGAATCAGACTGGATGACACATTTATGTATGAATTTGTATAGTATTTTTTTACTTTAAGGATGACTTTAAGCCAGTATCTGTTTATATAAAATTGGGACAATGTAGATAATATTTACTTACCAACTACAAATGGGACCAGCAACTCTCTCATTAAGAGCAACAATCCTTAAGTAAGAGATCATTTGACATCTGTGTTCTGCATTAATTTTGTTTGTTGAAAGCCAGTTATGAAGCTGGCAAATGAGGATCATGTGATCATGGGGTGCTGCGACAGTCATAAATGCACCCAAGTCACAAAGCACAAAGCAATCACATGACCGCAAGACACTGCAACAGACATAAATGCAAGGATTGGTAATGATTTTTTCCCAATCGTTGTAACTTTGAATAGTTACTTAACAAGGCAGTCGGTGAGCAAAGACTGCCAGTAGAAGGTGTGGAGATGTGGTGAGTTCTATCTGCCTCATGGTAAGAATTGCTTTCCCCGAATTTGCTACTTGCCTAGAAGGCGATATCAGCTGTTTAGCTAAATAATTATTTGCCCCATTGGGAAACAGCAACTTCAGAGAGGTCATTTTCTCTGGAAGTCTGATGCAGTGACAAAAAATTAAAAACAACTCTCCCAACATTGCCCATATTCTTATTGTTGTTCCCCCTGGGTTATTTTTAAAAATAAAACTCAAGATACATTATGTGGCTCCATATGTAACGGAGTATATGCAGTGGTGTGTTGGAGACAGCTCTCACTGGCTTGTGAGAGCTGATTGTTAAATTTTCTGGAATTTTATGAGATGAGAGCAGAGCTGAGCCTTGATGCCTTGTGCACCAATCAGCTGTTCTGTGGTGGAATGGTAGCAGTGGTGCCAATGAAGCCAATTATTAAATATTTCTCAGCAGATCAGTGTTTACATGCATACATTGTTTTAATATGTTGTCTTGTCTGGCCCATAGATACAGTTTGCCAAGAAACCTTCCCTTTAATGTGAAAGAAAAACCCATTGTTCTTTGTTAATCTATGGCTCTGAGGAATAGAGTCATACTTAAAAACTGCTCTTTGGCCAAATAGGAGAAGTGAAAAGAGATAAAGATGCTCAACAAATTACTTAGATTTTACCTTTTCAGCTCAAGAAGATCAACCCAGAGAATCAGTTACCCTTCGTGGAGTTGTCATTTACTGAACACAGGAAATGTGAATGCAGGTGAGCAACTTTGCTGTGGCATTTGATAAGTGCACCCAGTGCTTCACAGTGTCCAAATTAGGGAACAAGGGAAAACAGGCTTTTAATAAACGCCACCAACCCATCTCCTTGAGAATCTGCTCCATAGGTCTTTGCTATTATATTTCAGAAACTGATACTTCAGACTTTCTGTTAATGTCACATGAAATTATGCACATGAATGCACATGAAATGCATTAGGGAATGGCAGACTTTATTTCACAGGTTCAAGTTTTTATTCGAACACAGTTCCAGCAACTGTGTTATAAATTTAAATATATATATATGATTTTGTGATTAGCACCAGTATCAAGCTTATCTACCCATTCATACAAATACCAGGTTTTCCATTGGAGTGCTTTTCCCATAATCATGGTGTAAGAGAGAGAGAAAAAGAAACTTTTGCATTGTTAATGTTAATTAATTTTAAGTCACAAAACCTGACTTCAGGTTTGTAACAGATCACCCAGATACATATCAGTGTTCTGAAATAAATTCGGCTCACAGTTACTCTAACTGGGGTATGTTTTTGACTGACATCATGATAATAATATTTACCAATCCCCACCATATTTTATTCTCTGATTAAAAGGAATATATTTTCATTGGGTTCTTCAAAACCTAATTTTGTTTTTCCCACATCCAAATCAGCAGTTGTAAGATTAAATTAGGGTTTCTGAGAGATCAAAGTTTTCACTTATAGATATTTCTATCTTTGCTTAATGAGCCCAAATATGCAAGTTTCAGTTGCCCTTTATATGATTTTTCAGAAAGAACATTTTGTTGATTTCATTGGAATTGAGCCTGGCAGAATCATTAAATCTCTTACTTTGCCATTTCTTAAAGTCATTAGAATTTAGCATGCAAACAGAATTAATCTGAATTGGATAAAAAGTTTTCATAATTCTGCTAAAGAGTTTAGGAATGTGTTTTTTTAAAAAACAAACTAAAAAAGAATTAAGGCAAAATTATTAGGAAGCTGAATTCATTACCAAGTGCTACATTCTGTATATTTTCTGTGTTCCAGTAGAAGATTAGCATGTGGACAGTCCTGCAATTATCATGCATGCTTGTTACTTAATAAGCTGGACACCATGTGATGAAATATGGCAGAGGTAGCAGCTGTTCTAATTCAGCTGTTTTCCATGACATTTGGGACATTTATAGATACCTCATCTTCACTAAAAGAAGGAAGGAACAGCCTGTGTCCCTCTTGTGTTCTGGCATTCAAAGATAATTATGCATCAAGTTGATCAAACCTCTAGAACAGTGTTTCTCAACTTGCAAATTTAAGATGTGTGGATTTCAGCTCCCAGAATTCCTCAGCCAGCTATTGGGAGTTGAAGTTCACACATCTTAAAATTATCAAAGTTGAGAAACACTGCTCTAGAAGTACCCAGAATGGAAGAGCTCCCGGCAAAATTTGGGTACTGATGTGCACTATTAATTTTTCTTAGCTACTGATGGTCATGCTATATGCCTTCTTTGCCTTTTTAACAAAATGTTTCTTTTTGAAATGTTCAGGTTTTTTCCCTAAAATCCTCCCCGTCCCCCCAGCTCCCAATTTCTTATGAAGATATAATCTCCCTATGTAAGCCAATTCTTTGCAGAGTGGCGTTATTAGGCATTTGTTGGGATTCCTGGAAGACCCATTGTAAAACTAACATATCCAGTTCCAGACATATCATCTCACACTTCATTTATTACTCTAAAGCCGGGCTGAACAAACAAAGCCTTATTATACTTGAGGCTTTTGGATGGGGTCGTCCCTCAGAGCCTTCTCTAATTACTCTTATTGAAAATAAACAGGGTTTTCGCTTTTTTTCATTGCAAGAGAAGTCCTAAGGAGGTTGAACAGAAGTTGGTAAAGCAGAATCCCAGTAAAAATCAGAAAATCCAGACCTTGCCTTCTTGAGTGATGTGGTCCTATTATAGTTCTGGTCTTCTTAGAAAATGTCAAAAGCTTTCCCATTTCTGCTCTAGATTTCAGCCTTTCTGCCCACTGTTGCCCTCATCAAAGTCGCTGGAAATTTCTAAATCATCTGGCACACAGCCAGCATGATGGTAAAGGCAGTGTAGCATGAGTTATATTTAAGGAGCACAGGCTGTGGGACACTCTTTTAGGGAATCTGCCCTTTCTTTTGACTGGGTTTGTAGCTCCACATCTTCTAAGTGTTCTATATGTATATGGCAGATACCACCATATGCTAAAAGTAACTAATTCTGTTCCCCCCAGGCCCCGACAAGATGGTCTGAAGTCAGGGAGGTAAGTGGCATTACTAAAGATTCTGGAGGCTGGGACTCTCTGCAATGTCTTATCTCCCACCCACTCTTTTCCCCACCTTTCCTCCAAAAGGAGGAGGAGACTCAAGGGACGCAGCAAGAAGAAGCGGGCAAAGCAGAGACCCAAAAATTGATCTCTGTGTGAGTATCAACAGCAGGGAAAGGGAAAAGAATACTATGGTGTGTGAGTCATAAGTGGAGTCTATCTTTCCTTCCATCAGTACCTGATTTAGCTTCTGGACCACGCAAAGCCAGTGGGGGGAGTCTGGAAATCTCATCTTACTTTGTAAATAAGCATTGATCAGTGTGGATTCATCTGCACCCATTTCTCTGTTCTCTGATGGTACAGTCTGACTAGACAGCCATAGCTTTTCTTTGCTCTTCTCTGTGCTCTGTGCTCTTTTTTTAATGCCACATAGATAATACTTCTGAATGAGTGCCTGTTTACTTTAAATCCATAGCAGCCAATGAATGTGTGAGCATAAAAGTGGCACTAAACAAATGTTGTATAATAACACCTGCAACCAAATAAAAAAAGAATAGTCTGATTTAAAGACAATTACTTTTAAGGAAGGTGCAGAACCAATGAATGTCCCTACACAGAGGGGAGGGGGAATTCCAATGCTAGGCTGGAGAACTGAAACTTGGATCTTCAGGTTCTGCCTGTAGCAAAAGGCAGGAACAGAGCTCAGAGTTGTGCTTGGCTGGAGCAACAAAGCTCAGATTCCAAAGATCCAAACTTTGTTTCTCCAGCCCAGCATAGAAAGGAGAACTCATGTGGAGGGCTGCAGAAATGAACCTTGAATCTTTAGAATCTGAGCTTTGCTTCTCCAGCCCAGTGCAGGAGTTCCTTTCCATGCACAGATGGGAGGGGAAATCCTACACTGGGCTGGAGAAACAAAGCTTGGATCCAAAGATCTGGACTACATCCCAGGAGTTCCCTTCCTTCAGCAGGCAGTTCTTTCACTCCATCTGTGTAACAATTCAAATGATTGTTAATAATCATAACTGGAAGAGCCAGGATTGTGGTCATTGACTGAAGCAGTCATGTGGGCTATTTACTTAACAACCACTTTGTTCAATGGCCAAGTTTCTGGTATCAACTGTGGTCGTAAGTCAAGGACTACCTGTAATTGCCATATTCTATGGCTAGTAGCTTTGTCTTGTTCTTTTGAAGGGGAAAAGTAAGGCTGTTTTGAGATTGTTAACATAATAGCATTGGATTACAATATTTTAAGATTGAGCCTAAATGTATCCCTTACAAGTTTACTTATTAGTTTATTAGTAATAAACTAATGTTTGCAGCTTAAAGAAGAATTCAGCCAATAGGAGAAATTCATGGAGGTTTTACACACACAGTGGAATGTAATTTTACTTTCTGTATCTGGGTATTCATTTTAGATTTTTAATGTAATCAGTAGCATAAATCTACCTGATCTTCTAATGCATTTATTACAGCAGAGCAGAAACCAGAGTTTGCACGTAGAGTAGGAAATGTAATTTTAGCTGTCCATTTTCCATGTTAACATCTTTGGCTGTTCATTTGGTGCTGAGTCTCTTCTGTACTTTCTCTCTAGATGTGCCGTTTGATGACAGTTGTTGCTTTCTCAGCCAAGGGCAGTGCCGCAATGCCTCTATTTCATTGCTAAGTCCTCTTCAACATTCTTCTGCAATTACAATCTTGACTGATGAATTCAGGGGGCTGATAGCAGCTTGCTCACTTGAAGTGCCAGAGCAAAAAGGGAGGAGTAAAGACAACATCCCAGTGAGAATAGGTCAGGACATTCTGAAGGAGACGTTTTTTTTAAATAATTGCATCAGAGGACTGCCCCAGGACCAAGTGAAGACCCTGTTTATTTCAGTCCATTCCCTGCCTACATAGAGCTAATATTTCACTCTGATTTCTGCAGAATTGAGAGTAAACAGAAATACAAGAAAGCAGCAGCTGTTTTATGTTTTAAATATTTGGAGTTTGGGGAACTTAAACTATTAAGACAAATGTGAATACTTCCTCCTGAAATATCTGGATATTATCTCTCTGTTGGGAATTGAGAAAGGAAAGGGAAGAAAAGTTTGAGCGAAAAGGTTTAAGTCAAGGTCTACTTGTATAGCTGGTTTGGGGAGGGGAGGACAGTTGTTAAAAAAAAAAGTTCTCAAAGTAGGTAAATTCTCTGGTCAGCCACATTCTAGACAACCCCATAGCTGATTTAAGCAGGTATTTCTGCCTGTCCATCTCATTGTACAATAGTGCAGGTTCACAATCAGTTATAAAAGAAAGTAAGTTCAGGTGAGCTTTAAAATGATAGTGGAACTGAACACAGAATTAGGTCTTGTTTGATCCTGAGATATAAGTGCATATCTAATAAAAATACTAGCCTTAATAACTGCAAGAAAGTGTGAAAGATCACTCTAGATTTTAAATTAGCTTCTGTGATCAATTTATGGAAAACTTATTTTTAGAGACTGTGGCTATCCAAAAAGCACAGATAACGAAAAGAACAGATAACCATAAAGACAGGTATTATGCCCATCTTACAGTATATAAATTTCCTGAGGTTTGAATAAACCTGAAAGAGAATTGTGACATGTAAGTTAAGAACTAAAATAATGGGAAATTGAAATATAAGAAGTTTATAAAAAGTGTAATGGCATACCTTTTGCATGCAACTCTTACAGTAATTTGCTATGAGATGTTGGGTGTGTGTGTGTGTGTGTTGGTTTGTGTGTCTGTTTGCAGTGTGAGTGAACTCAGGCTGAAATAGGTGAATGGGACATAGTAACTGTTGGTCAAGCAAGCATCATTATGTCTTGATTATTCCTGTATCTACAGCTGTTACTGATTCATATGAAAACAAGGTAGAATTTTCCTAAGTCTCTGCATTTTTGAACTGTTATATCTGACAACATCCATGAAAGGACACAGAACTAAATAGACCATCAGTTTAACCCAATGAAGTATATTGCTTCCTATAGTAACTTAATGGCAATATATTCTTGGCCCCCTGGATTGAAAGCTCTTCTTTTATGTAGTAAAGTAGTGCATGAGTTCCTGCTTTTTCAGTCAATGCAGTGCAACAACTTTCCAAATAAATTATTCTAAATAAAATAGAATTAGGGACCACCCTAGTCCCTTGTCTGAAAAAGCACTCCAAGAACTTGTCTTCTCCGGATGTATGAGAGATAAATTCCAGTTGTGATCCTTCTGAATTGCTGAATGATTTACCAGAAATAAAGACACAATCCAATATGTTGGTCTGCATGCTTCCTATGTGACTTGGGGCAAATGATTCAAAGCTGTTCCTTTGCAATGTGAGTGTGATAGACAAAGAAACTTGTAATAATAAAGGCACTATGACTCTTGGAATGCTTTTTTATTGTAGTAATGATAACCAAATATATATCTTGTCAGAGGTTGCCAAATTTTTCTTTTTAGGCAATTATTTTCTGTCTTGTAATTTCACTGACTAGAGAGTCTTAGAGATGCCAACAGTTGTTTAGATTGGCTATGACATGTCTGGATTCTTGAACTGGAATGGAGTTTTGTGCTTGATAGAGAACGTCAGACCTAAAGGAAACTTCTTTACCATCTGCATAAGAATGCAGAAATTTCATACAGGATATTGTTGTTAGTATAGGAACTATAAGACTTGTTTTTTTTGTTACTTTCTGTGGTTGGCATCCTTTTTCCTTCTGGGTAGGAAATTTCCCCTATGATATTTTTTGAAATTTTCTACCTGAATCTAACAGTATTTACTAGATTTTTTAAAGGTTTAAAATTGTAGCCATGGCCACCCAAAATAATCCACAATATAAGTTTCCTTTTTACCTTGAACTACTCTAAATTGTATGGTTCTATATCAGCATTTGGAAATGTTTTATTAATTTTTCATTCTCCCATGTACCTCCAGATTTTGCCCTCTTTCCAGTGATTTCCATACTAATCCTTGTTATTCACACATTGGGCAGGAATCTTTACCTTGGTTTTAAAATTCTCATGCCTAGTTATATTATAAATAGGTGATACTGTCTAGCTGACCTTTGAAATGCGGCACAGGAAATTCCCGATATGAGACATCTATAGTTCAGAATGCAACTTTCACTCTGGCAAGGACAAGGAAGTGATGGAAAAATGTTTTTGTTTGCCATATATGAAGACATAATTAGGATCAAATTTTCCTTCAGCCAACTGCACTTTCTCCCACACATGGCTGAGAAAGACACAGAGAATATGAAGAAATGCTTATGAGTGCCAATATTACCAATAAAGGGGGGTGAGGTGTCTTTGATGCTTTCTGAGCTTGGTTGTTTTCTTGCAGACATTTCATTACACAAACTAGGTAACATCATCAGTGACTAGCACTGATCACTAGCATGGATGATGTTAAGTAGCATTTTCCCATCACCTTGGGTAATGAAACGTCTGCAAGAAAACAACCAAGCTCAGAGAGCACCAAAGACCCTTCATTTCCACTCTGAGCTACTAATATTTTCCTTTAATAATAGTACTTCATTTAGTACCTGATTAGTTCCATGACTTATTTTACTTTATATTATTTTAACTATAAGTAAACAAATGGGAAACTACAATATCATAAAGCTAATGAATCTTTTTTTCCAAGAATGCTGGAGGCTCCATAGAACTACTAAAGGCATTTGTAGAAAGTAAGAGTCGATGGCTGAGGCTAGTGTTTGGCTGGAAACAGCTCACTTTCTAAGAAAAAGCTGAAGTGATTCAGAGACTAAATGGTAAGAAGGATATCATCTTCATCTGTTCCTCTTGTGAAAAACAGATGGTAAATATATTCTTAAAATCTGTATTCTCTGGCACAAAACGTTTGAAGATCCTTAGAACATAACATTTTATGTGTATTATTATTAATTACAGTTGAAGTACTACAATTTCAAATAGAAATAGTTCCTGCTAAGCCATGAGATCCTTCTAAAGAAATTTTCTTTCTGACTTCCAAGAAAGAAATGGTGAACTGAAAATGGCTCTGCTTTTAGCAGCAGAACTGCAGCAGAATAAACAGCAGGCAGACTGGCTTTTCATATTTCCTCTCCGGGTAAGAAGAGGACTGAAGATCACCCAAAAGTGCTCCAGACCATTGCTCCTTGCAAGAAGACCACAAAACAGCAGTCTCCAATGGGTGGAATATCCATCCAGCAATCTCTGGAAGATGAGGGTGGAGTATCTATCTTGCTGAATTCATGGTTGACATCTTTAAGAGCACTGGGTTCACTGTTTGTTAACTCTTTTCAGTTATTAGAAACTTTTGATTAACAGGTTTTACAGCACTGGGTGAGTTTCCTTCAATCCTTAGCAAAACAAGTTTTAAACAATTTAAAGACTTAATTTTTTTTTTTTTAGCAAACAGCAAAAAGTGATTAAAACTTTGATTTTGGAAAATTACAAATGGACTAAGATCCAGATAAATTTGAAATAAGATTTTGGAATTAAGTTTAAATTAATGGGAAAATGTTTTGTTTTGAATTCTTTTAAAAAAATGATAAGATGAAACTTTGAAAGTTGGTCACTAGAAGGAACTGCAAGGAGCTGGAGATTACAATTAAAGGAGAAGTGCAGCTAAATTTGACTAGTAATACAGAATGAAAGAAAATTGTTTAACTATGGACATATTAAAGGATATTTTTGAACAATAGACTCAGAAGTTAATTTCAAGAGTGTTGTCTCTATTGATAGACTGTTTAAAATGTTATGGAAGAGGAATAAGTTTAAACTGGCAATAAATCAGACTGATCTGAAAGTGGATTTTAAAATTATAGGATAAAGAATGATATAAAAAGATGCTACATTGGACATATAAAAGAAAACGGGTGATGTCTTAATAAATAAAAGAAATATACAAAAAACAAGCTAAGAGATTGACCTGAATAATTTTCTTACATTGGATTTACAAAAGAGACGTGTTCAAAAAGAAAGTTGTGAGAAGCTACAAAGAAAAAATGAAAAGAAATCAAGATATTATTTGAAGGAATTAAAAATCAAAATTGTTAAGAGTAAAAACAAAGAATATAAAGTTGGTTTATTTGATCAATGTTAACTAGATACATTGTTATCTCTGGTAACCCTTAATGGGCTTTTGCTGATCAGGACTGAAGCAATGAGGCTTTAAGCATTTGTTTATATGGATAATAGCTGGATATGAAAAGAAGAGCTCATATATTTTAAGAGAAAGTGATAAGTAACTAAAATTGTTTACACTTCTTGTGATGAAGGAGGAAGTAAGGTAATGTATTTTTTTTCTATATTTTATTTTATTTTTTCTTTTCTATTTTTCTTTTTTATTCTGTAACTTCTACTTTTTATTATTTTTTTTACTTTGCATTAGTTTGTATCTTAGCAACTGTAATTTTTAACAAAATTTATTATTTTTAAAAAAGAGACCCAGAGAGTGCACTTTCTAATGTTTGCAAGGATGCTTTTCGAGGTGGAACACAAAAAGGTAGATTCAGATTTTGCCTAAAACAGGCACCCCAATCAAATCAGAATAACGAGATCAAAGATAGCTGCTTCTGGTCTCACTCCAACTTTTAGTTCTGTAAACAATGTTATTTGAGCAGCCGCACTCTTGGCATGAAATGAGAAGGAAGTGTTGCAAAATTAGAGATGATAATTCCAAGATGGTTAATTGGGCAAACATACTTTTTTTTTCAAATCGTGATGCTTACATGGCAGAGGTTAAGCGTAGGTTATCAGAATATAGTTGTTTTTTCCTTTCACAGAATCCCACGTGACCGTTTAGAGAACCAGAACTTGCCTTGCAAAGAAATGCTTGCGCTCTGGTTTCCCGCAGACTTAGAATAGTAATGATGGCACGGAAAAGATGTGTGCGTGCGTGGTGGGGATAATTAGTAAGAAACGAAACCACTTTTCTGAGAAGACACACCAATTTCCAATCCCTCCTCCTCTTGTTCTGCCTTTACTATCTCCTGCAGTTCATTCCTCTCCAAGCCCAACATCTTTACTTCGCTAAAGCGGGAAACCCTGAACCCCTTCCCCGCCAGCCCCTCCCGTCCGTCCACGACCCTATACTACCGGTATCTCGTTGGACCCCGCAGGCCGGCTCTCCAAACGCCGGAGAAACCCGCCGATTGGAGCTCTATTCTAAAAGGCGAGATGATGAGCTCATCCTCAACCAATGGGAGACCACCGCGGACAGCCACAGCCGTACAAGTTGCAGCCTGCACCGGATTCCTCGGTCGTTGTAGCTTTTGCCCCGGGCGGAGATGGATATAGGCGTGGGAGGTCCCGTCTGCCTTATCTCCGCTCTTACTAGCCTCTCGGGCCATCAGCTTTTCAAGGTATTGCCGAGTCTCGTGTATCTGTGAGGCCCACTGCCCTCCCCGCGCCTTCTGTGGCCACCTGTCCCCTGCTGGTCCAGTCTCCGTCACGGATTTACATCATCTCCGGGATGATTCCAGTAACTGCAGCGCAGTTTCATTGGCAATTCGGTCTCTGGGTGGAGTAGGCAGGGCTAGGCGAGGTCAGTTCCTCGTACCCCCCCCCCCGATGGCGAAACTCCTACAAGACCGCGTGATTGCTAAGGTTATGCCCGTGATTCTTAGGGGGCTTCCTGCAATGCTAGCACTGGATGCTTCTTCCTAGCAGCGTCTTATTTAAGCCTCCTCCTGGGATGCTTGCAATAGGTCAAGCCAGGAGGAGCTTCTCCATGAAAAGCATACATGCCTGCACTGCGGGAACCGAGGTCTTATATACCTCCATCTTGTCTGGGGCGTCCAGCGTGAAAAGCAATCAGCCTTTCCATATAGACGTGTCTCAAACCGTTAGCAGCTACGTCGACCTGACTCAGGTACAGGAATCCAAAGTAACCGCTGGATTTGCTTCCACAGTTAGGGTTACCACATCAAACAACTCCTGGCTGGCAGCAAGGAATTAAACATTCTCTTAATTTCTTTTGGCCACATAATGGTTGTTTGGGTTTTTCCTTTTCCAATCTTATAGCCCATAATAAGTGGTTGCCTGTTTATTTTAATTTTATTGCTACCTTGGTCCATTCAATCAAGCAAATTTAAGTAGTGTGATTCTTAATCAACCCCATCCAGTGGTCCTACTGTTGCATCCCAGATATTGGATCTTAGCCACTTGCTGCTTGTTTCTCTAAAGGAGAGCTGTAGCTTTTAAATTAGTATCATTGATTGAAAAGTTGGTTAACAATAATTCTTTGTAATATTTGCAAATGCTGCAGATTTTAGTTGCCAGGTCAGTTTGATAGAATAACAGTTGGAATAGCTTTTAGATCTGGATTTAATTACTCTTCCCTTTTTTTCCCTAGACCTTTGGAGAACTTGTTCATTTTGCTCTGATAACGCCACTGGGTTTATAGAAGAAAAGACCTCCATTTTTTTAATCTGCAAAAAGGGAATCTTTCTTCTGAAGTGACACTTCTTGCAACATGCAAAACACCTATGTTAACAGTCAAAGATATATCTTTCAGATGTAATTGAGGCCTTTCAGATATAATTGAGGTACATCTTTTCTCGTTATATTCTGTATGGCTGATGGTCAGGGTAATTCTGCCTTTGTCTCATGCATTGCAGGATGTGGATGATAACAATCTCTTGAGAATGGCTACTTCTTAAGGAGAGTATCTGTAGGATATTTTTTGGGAAATGGATTCAGAGTCCTGTAACCGAGCTTTCTCCCAGGCCCGTGTATATCTTGAACAAATTCGAAGCCGGGTTGCACCAGGGAGTATTGACATACATGGTCCTGGGAAGCGCGACTACCTGGTGGATGCAGCTAAGCAGATCCGTCTGGCTCTGGAACGGGATGTAAGTGAAGACTATGAAGAAGCATTCAACCACTACAAGAATGGTGTGGATGTGCTTCTCAGTGGGGTGCAAGGTAAGATGGGATTGTGAAGTATCTTGAGAAGATGAAGCTTGGAAGCAAGCAGATTGTTTGGTGGGTTGTACTTGGTGACTTATATGATTATCAAGGGTAATTTTCCTCTGTTGATAAATCTACTTTTATAGGATAGGTTCCACATGACTCAGATGTGGATTAATATTATGCTACTTTAAAGCATGAAGTGGTCTAGATTGTTCTGGATGGCAGTTTGGGGAATGCTAGTTGGTAAAATAGTAGATATGAGGAAAAGCAGTACAATAAGAAACAAGCTTATGTTTATTTTTCCTATTTATTAGATTTATATCCACCTTTATTTTGTAAATTCAAGGGGGCGTATACGATGCTCTCTCCTTTTTTCCACACTTTGCTGCTTAAAGGAGGCCTAGAACTCACAATCTCCTAATTTCTAGGCCAACACCTTAACCACTACACCATTTAAAGATTTGATTGCTTCTCAGTGGGGAAGTGTAATTTGTTGCTGTTTTTTTATACTTTATTTTATTCAATTTCAATATCCACCAATTCAACCAAGGGTTATGGAATAGGACAGTGGTGGTGAACCTATGGCACGGGTGCCAGAGGCGGCACTCAGAGCCCTCTCTGTGGGCACATGTGCCGTTGCCCCAGCCTTGCCTCCCCCCCCGCGACCCCCTCCTTTCCAGCAGCCCCCCTGAAGGAGAGTCACCCACGAGCATGGCCCACACAGAGCAGCGCAGCCAAGGACATGGCAGCCAGGCAGTGTAGACAAGGCTCTGCCCTCACAACCCATCATGCAGTTGATGCTGCAGGGCGCAGGCAGAGGGCGTGACCGCCATAGTGTTGATGGGCTGCCTGGGCGATCTGCGGCAGGCCCTGGAGGCGATGAGTGGTCCTGTGGGCAGGCAGGGTGGGGGATGAGGGGCAGAGTGGGGGCGGGGGGGTGGAGTGGGGGCAGGGCCAGTTTTTGGGCACTCGGTCTCTAAAAGGTTTGCCATCACTGGAATAGGATATATAAGGGGCACAGAATTCAACATGGCACAAAAGCCAAATAAGTAAAACAAATAAACAAGGCCTCAACATGAATTAATGCACATAACTCTTGACAGTGGATCCTAACAAAGAGCGCCGTGAAGCCGTGAAGAGGAAGATCACCCAATACCTAAAACGGGCAGAGGAGATCTTCAACTGCCACCTACAATGTAATTTGGGGAATGGCAATTCTACTGAAACGGTGAGAAACTGGAGTTGTGGCATGTTAGCAGGACTCTAGGTAGATCTTTTAGTGCAGAGTTCCCCAACCTTTCTGGCTTTGTGGACCAGTGGTTCTGTAGAAGCAGTCTGCAAGTGTGTATGCGTGTCTGCAGCTCCATTTGCATGAGCGGTGGGCAAATGGAGTGTACATGCATACACTCGCCCACTGCTCATCCATTTCCATGGCCCCGTTCCAAACTGCTCATGCCGCGGCCCTGGGATTGGGGACTCTAGCTTTAGTGAGTCCAGTGTTTTGAAACATTTCTGGAGGCAGAGAGGATTAAAGCAGAGCAGTTGTGGAAAAGAACAGGCATGCCTTCAGAATGAAGGCTTTTAGCATGATTTGAAAACTGAAGGGATCTAGCTTAAATTACTTGCCAGTTCAGTGCCTCACAGAATAATCTGGTTAGATTGCAGATCTTCTATTCCAACTTCCTGCCCAAAGCAGAATTTGCATAGTCTCCCGGACAAATGGTTATCTCATTTTTGCTTAAAAACTTTTCTGCTATATTTTGGGTACACTCAGAAGTGCCAGAAAGCAATAGCTTTAAATTTTTACAAAGAAAATGATTGTTTAGGCAGATACTGTATTTTAACAAAATAAAAAAAAAACTGCTTTCAACGTAGAAAAATAAGAAAAAATTCAAGGAAATGATTGGTCCATTATTGGGAGAAAATGGCAAGAAGGTACAAGCAACAGGAAGAAAACAGAACTAAAGTCATTTTTTGCATCCATCTTTACACAAAGGAAAAAAAACAGTCCAACCTATCAAAAACTGTATCATAAAAAACAGAAGCATAAGTTAAAATAGGCAAGGAAATAGTAAGTAAGCACTTGTCCACCCTAGATTTCAAATCACTAGGACCAGAGGGAATACACCTCAAGGTTCTGAAGGAACTGGCAGATGTGATCTCAGAACCACTCAACTATATCTTTCAAAGATCCTGGAACACTGGGGAACTACCAGAGGACTGGAAAAGAGCTGATGTAATTCCCATCTTCAAAAAAGAAAAAAGAATAGATCCAGGAAACTATAGACCTATCAGCTTGACCTCAATACCTGGGAAGATTCTGGAAAAGATAAGCAATGAATCAGTGAACACCTAGAGGCAAACAAAGTGATAACCAAAAGCCAACATGAGTTTGTCAAAAAATGCCAGGCAAATCTTACTGCATTCTTTGACAAGATGACAAAATTAGTGGACCAGACGAATGCTGTGGATATAATTTATTTGGATTTCAGTAAGGCATTTGATAAAGTAGACCACAACCTACTACTTGATAAAATAGAAAAATGTGGGTTAAACAGCATCACCACTAGATGATTAGGGGACTGGAGGCTAAAACATATAAAGAATGGTTGCTGGGATTGGGTATATCTAGTTTAATGAAAAGAAGGACTAGAGGTGACATGTTAGCAGTGTTCCAATATCTCAGGGGTTGTCACAAAGAAGAGGGAGTCAAGCTATTCTCCAAAGCACCTGAAGGCAGGACAAGAAACAACGGATGGAAACTAATCAAAGAGAGAAGCAACCTAGAACTAAGAAGAAATTTCCTGATAGAACAATTGACCAGTGGAACAACTTGCCTCCAGAAGTTGTGAATGCTCCAACATTTTGAAGAAGAGATTGGACAACCATTTGTCTGAAATAGTATAGGGTTTCCTGCCTGAGCAGGGGGTTGGACTAGAAGACCTCCAAGGGTCCCTTTCAACTCTGTTATTCTATTCTATTCTAAACCAGGAGGTTGCATGAAGGACTGGGAGAAATGAGGTTTAGGCAGAATTGATGGACATCTCAACCTGTGCAAGTTTTGAAGTTGTGTAGAGAAGTTTCTTTCTATACAGACTGCAGAATTATTTCAGTAAATTTTAAATTTCTAGGAAAAAAACTCATAACTAAGGAAGTTGCCAGACAGAAATTCCATGCTTAATGGATGATATGCTGTTTGAGGTTAATTTTAATTTTATTTACTTATTTATATTGCGCCTTAATTATTTTTATAAATAATTCAAGGTGCGAATATATCCATCACACTTTCCTCCTCCTATTTTCCCCACAGCAACAACCTGTGAGGTGGGTTGGGCTGAGAGAGAGTGACTGACCCAGTGTCACCCAGCTGGCTTTCATGGCTAAGGTGGCCCTTGAAAACTGATGAGCTCTTGTTTTCTAGCCCGGTGCCTTAATTACTATACCAAACTGGCTCGCCATAATAATTAATGTCACTGTCTTTTTTTTTTGCTTGTATATCTCCAATCTTTTCTTTACAGATACTCCCAATTACAATCAACATTTAATGTAATTGGGAGTATCCTTGTCATCACAACACAACACAATATTTCCCCTAAATCATTCTGGATTCCTAAATTCATTTCTGTTTTATCAGAATTCTCAAATGTACAGGAACTTCTTACTTGAAGTCATGAATACGACTCTTCCCCTTAAACAAAAGCGTTAATATTGGGGCTGAAATTTTTATATTCAGTTACTTGTTCTATTTTCAATCCATGATAGCAAGTGGAAAACCTGCATAGGTGTCCTCAGCCTATATTGAATTTGTGTGTGATTCACATTGTAGCTATTATAAAGTCCTTGATTTGAGGTTGACTCTGGTTCATCTCATCCATGCAGTTCCCTTGGCAATAATATAAGTGGCTTGCCACTGCCATCTTATGACATGCCTTTTCAGACTCCTAATGGTCAAAATTTCTGGGATTAAACTAGTATAATGTTTTTGACTCAGTTGTTTAACTGGGTTCTCTTTATCTAGTTCTAGGACTTGCGTGAAGAACAGATCACATTTTAGGTCATATTTATGCAGAAATATTTAAAAATATGTTTCCCACACTTTTAAGCACCACTATAATTTTTAAATATATATATATATATATATAATTATTAAGAATTTTGATTATAATAGTAAAATCTAGTACTAACTAAATTTAAAGAAAAAATGAATAGAAAGGAGTAAAAAATACAAGAAAAAAGAGGAAAAAGAAAAGTAAGAATATAATAAAAAAGAGAAAAATATATAAAGAAGTGACTTCCAAATTTCATCACAATAAATATAAACAAATTTAGTGACTTCACCCACGCTAAGGTTACAAACATTTATTTCTTCATCCCATCTCTTACCTATCAACAAATACATAAAATATCATCTTTTCAATTCTCATGTCAGCAGAAAGTCCATAAAGGATTTCCAGAAGTAACTACATACCTTGTTTTAACCTTAAGGCAAATTTATAGTTCCTTCTTTTTACTTTAAAATTTTTAAATTTTAATTCATTCAAATATTATTGATTTCATTTCTTCTTTGCCCCATCTCACAGAGTTTTTCAAAGCTTTAACAAGCTTCTTTTGCAAATTCAATAGGAAATAATTATCTAGGTCTCTTTGTTTGTAAGTTTCCCTTTAAATTTTAAAACCTGAGTCAATTTCTTTTGTAGATCCTTTTCTAAGCCATTCTCTTGGGCCACTTTTAAATATATTGTTTTGGAATATGGTATCATCCTTACTCATAGCATATAGTTTCATTATATGCTTTATAAACAGTTAAATTGTGGAGGAATGGAATACTACAGAGGTAGAGGAGATGATGGAAAATTTATCCTGATGTTATGGAACCTGACCACATGGCCAGAGCTTTTCCATGTGAGTCCTAGAATGCTTTTAACACTATGATTGATCTGTAATATGAAGTGGATTGTAAATGTTGCAGTTTTCAAGAAAGGCTGAACATTCAAAAATATTTGAAGCACATTTGGGCTTGGAAAGGTCAATAAAGTTTAATTGCTATTAATTGTCTGACTCCATTTTGAAGATGTGTTTCCTTGTTGGTTGTAGGGTTACAGCAGTCTTCGCTTTCGTCCGATAAGGACACTCAGCACACCAGTGGAGAATCTCAAGCGCTGTAAAGTAGTGGGAATAATTGATAAGGTAACTCACTGTTTATGATGGAGATACCTAGCTTCAGGCAACACAAATGTTCCAAAAGAGCAGCTGTAACATGGTTGTGATAGAAGTTGACATGACTGGTCCCAGAGAATTATAAAAACTAATCTTCCTATTGTAGCAAATGGGTTTTCACACTGGAGCCTCATTAAAGCAAGCATTTCACTTTGATGAAGATAGTTCCAGCCTAAGAAATTATCAGCAACTGATCACAGATGGCAAACTCGACATCTGGAAAGTGAAGGAATTTTCCTTAGATATTATCTGTATGTCCAACATAAAAAGCTCAGTAAGACTGAGCATTCTGAAATTGGATTGAAGAATCAAAGAATTAAGAGGAGGATGAGATCTAAAGAGTGGTTAGTGGTGCTCTTGGGTCTAAAGGCAGATGTTTCTAGCTCTAGAACAGAATCTCCAGTTGATTTTAGGCAGTCCTCAACTTATAACCCCAATTGACTTCAAAATTTCTATTGCTAAGCAAGATGGTTGTTAAGTGTGTTACGCCCCATTTTACAACCTTTTTTTGCCCTGAATAAGCAAAATCCCTACAGTTGTGAATCATACAGTTGTTAAGTGAACGTAGCCTTTACCCCCATTGCGTTTGCTTGTCAGAAGCTCCTAGGAAGATTGCAAATGATTGTAAGGTTTTTCCACTTAGCCTCACAATTGCCCCAGTGTTACTCAGGAATTTAAAAGAGCCAAAGAAAGTCCTGAGCCGAGGTTTCAATAAAGATTACAACTTTATTTTGATCAAAACAGAGAGGGACTGCCTGATTCCTCTTCGTGGCTGGTAGAGGAATGAAGGCAAGCAAGCAGAAAAGATGTCTTCCACCTTTAATACCTTTCCAGAACAAAAAGATCAGGTCTCAGTACCAGGCATAAGATGGCACAAAAAAATAATTCCTAGATGATGACTCATACACAGCAACCCAGGCTCCATCCGTAACTCCTTTTCCCCCTCCCCTTACTGTGCTCTTTTCATATAAGCAATCACCTATATGTAGGTCTTTGGTTGTTCGGGTTTTCTCCCACGTAAAATTGGAAGTGTCTTGGCGACGTTTCGACGAAGTCCCATTCGTCATCTTCAGGCTGGTGCTTTCAGCTTCGTGCCTCGAGCAGCAGTGTGTGGTCTTGGCTGTTTCTTCCTTTTAACTGCCAGTGGAGGTATGAACTGATTGGGTGGGAGCTTGGCTGTGTTCTGATTGGGTGGAGGTGTGTTCTGATTGGTTAGGGGCTTGGCTGTGCTCTGATTGGCTGGGGGGTTGGCTGTGCTCTGATTGGCTGGGGGGTTGGCTGTGCTCTGATTGGCTGGGGGAGTGTTCTGTTTGGTTGTGCTCAGGTTAGTCTGAGTTGCAGAGGGATTCAAGATTTTGGGCTGCCCTGCCATTCCTTGGCTTCGCGTTCGTGGTCGTGCTTCCTCTTCATGGAGGGTGTCAGTTTGCTTCATGTATGGATTGGGGGGGTTTAAAGTGGCTAATGATGCAGCTATGCTCTGGCTTCTGGTTTGTGGTCGTGCCTCATAGTCAGTGTGGCTTTGGGTTTGTTTTTTGCGTGGATGTTTGGTGGTGACATCCTGTGTGGTTTTTGTGAGTGTGGGTCTGGTATCATTTTTTGGGTTAGGGAGTCGTTTGTCAATGAGGGCGGGTTTCCAAATGGCTGGTAGGCGGGAGGTATCATCTCGCTTGTTCATGCTGTGTGGGCGTTTTTCTATCTCGATGGCTTCTCTGATTATTCTGTTATTAAAATGTTCACTTTTGGCAGAATAATCAGAGAAGCCATCGAGATAGATGATAGACCACACATTGCTGCTCGAGGCACGAAGCTGAAAGCACCAGCCTGAAGATGACGAATGGGACTTCGTCGAAACGTCGCCAAGACACTTCCAATTTTACGTGGGAAAAAACCCGAACAACCAAAGACCTACATACAAATACCCGCGAAAACCTCAGAAAATATATATATATATATATATATATATATATATATATATATATATATATATATATATATATATATATCATCTGATCAAGCAATTAACTACAAAATAATGATTACAAAATAACAAGACAATGATTACATGATAATACTATAAGCATCAATATAAAATGGTTACTATATATAAAATAAATGCTAATGTCAAACTTAAACATACTAAAATCATAAGCACAATTAAATCCCTTCATGATAATCCCAGGATGCTGCAACCACTTGAGTATATGCTGTTTGCCAAACACTCAAAGTTTGATCATGTGACTGGGGGGGGGGAAATGCGATGGTTATAAGTGTGAGAATTGGTCATAAGTCATCTTTTTCAGTGCCATTGTAACTTTGGCCATTAAAAGAATGGTAATAAGTTGAGGACCAGCTGTACCAACAGATTAATATAAGAGCAGGACCACCTTGAGATGCTGCTGATATATGTTGTGTTGCTTATAGGTGCAAATAGTGCAGGATCCAGCTACTGGGGACACCTTTATATTGAAGGTATGTGGCTTTCCCTTTTTCTGTTCTCTTTTATAGTTCTAGATATGGCACCACTGTGTAAGTAACGCTGAGTTATTTTCCCCTGAATCTGTGTTGGGGCCATTGCAGAAGAGGAGCATACAAAACCTTTTTAAATGTGACCGTGACGGAACCTTTTCTTTTCTGTTTGGATTTGGAAGGGTTTTTTTGGTTTTGTTTTTAATCCAGCCTTGTCAGTATGGTAGCAGGAACTAGTTGAGGAAGGGGTGAGGATTTGGACCTGTTTTATCTAATGTGGCCCTCTTTTATTGGCCCATAGCCATTTTGCATAATGCAAAAAAAGTTGGTGACGTCTCTTGTCCTGAAGGAAGTTATAAATACAGTAGATTGGCTTTTTGTCACGCCAACAGATATATTCAACCTTAGTAATAGTATTAATGATGTTAGCTTAATATGTAAAATCTTCCACCTTTAATATTGTTCATTAAAACTCATTGGTGCTGATTTCATATATGGCACCTCTATCAGGGATTGCTTAATTGGAGGAAAGGGGCAGGAAGGGACATTTCCTGTTTTTCTTCCCCCTTTTACAACCTTCTGTTCTTCTGATACTGTCTTGAGAGTTCCCTTAGCCCTCTAGAGCAGCTTTGAAGAGAGAAACAGGAACTGTGAAGAACACTTCCTCTAAGTGCTAGATTCATCCCAGAGAGAATATAGAAGAGGGTGTGTATGTATGTAAGTATGTACTTATGTCTTATTTACATGCTGATTGAATAGAATAGAGTAGAGCTGGAAGGGACATTGGAGGTCTTCTAGTGCAGCCCCTTGCTCAAGCAGGAGAATCTATACCATCTCAGATAAGTGATTGTCTAGTTCTTCTTAAAAATCTCCAGTGATGGAGCACCCATGATTTCTGGAGGTAAGCTGTTCCAGTGATTAATTGTCCTCACTGTCAGGAAGTTTCTCCTTAATTCCAGGTTGCTTCTCTCTTTGATCAGTTTCCAACCATTGTTTCTCAGCCTGCCCTCTGGTGCTTTGGAGAATAACATGACCCCTCTTCTTTGTGGCAGCCCCTCAAATACTGGAATACTACTATCATGTCTATTTCTTGTTTTCTTTTGACTACTAGCCAAACCCAAGTCCCACAGCCGTTCTTCATATGTTTTAGTCTCCAGGCCTTTGATCATCTTAATTGCTCTTCTCTGATTTTTTTCCAAACTCTCAACATATTTTTTGTGATATGGTGAACAAAATTGGCTGCAGTATTTCAGATGTGGTCTTACTAGGGTTTTATAACGCGGTACTAATACTTTGCATGATCTTGATTTTTGCTCCAGGGAGACAACATACCTCCCTGGATTGAGATAGTATAGACTAGATAAAAAGATTTGTTTATGAGAAGAAAGGACCATGATTTGTAATATGGGCAAGTGAAGGTGGTAATTGTTTGTAATTGCTGCAAAGAAGATTGGAAGTCACTTTTTTAGATATAGGTAGTCCTCTACTTACAACCATAATTGGGACCAGAGTTTCTGTTGCTAAGCAAAGCGATTGTTAAGTAGATTGCACCTGATTTTACAATATTTTTTAATATGGTTCTTAAGCAAATCATGTAGTTGTTAAGTAAAACACGTGATTGTTAAGCAAATCCAGTTTTTCCCCTTAATTTTGTTGAAAGTGGGCTGGAAAACTTGCATGCGATGATCACGTGACTCTGGGATATGCAGCCATTGTTTATACATAGCAATTGCCAAATGCCTAAATTTTGACTGTGGGGATACTGCGATGGTCATAAGCAGTGCTTTTTTTCTTTTAAAAAAAAAAAAAGGTGCCGGAACTCACACACATTATACAACCTGCCTTGCCTACCCTACAAGGTTCCATCCAATAAAGGTGCTGGAACTCCGTTCTGGGCGTTCTATGGAAAAAAAGCCCTGGTCATAAGTCACTTTTTTCAGTGCCCTTGTAACTTTGACCGGTAGTTAAACATATAATTATGTTTAACTATCTGTATCTTCTTTTTTTTTCTTTTATCATTCATACACCTCTTTCATACAGCTACACACCTCTGTGTATTAATGATTCAACTTTGGAGGTGGTCAGCAGCATCAGGTTTCTGGGTGTGTAGCTAATGAATAGGTTAGCTTGGTTGCTCAACAGTGAGAGTGGTGAAGCTGGCACAGCAGCGCCTGCATTTTCTGCATCGCATGAGAAAAGTACATCTTCCTTCACCTGTCCTTATCATTTTCTATAGAGGGACGATCAAGAGTAACCTGTCATATTGCATTACTGCTTCGGACAGGAAGGTCATGCGGAGAGTGTTGCGGATGGCAGAAAAGATTATTGGACGTTTACTTCCTTCTATCTAGGACATGGCATATAAGCACTGCTTGAGCAGTGTTGTCAGGGACTCTACACATCCTCTCTATGACCAGTTTTCTTTGTTACCTTTTGGAAGGAGGGTCCATGGTATCCAAAGCAGAACATCACAGTTTTGTTTTATATAGTATCAACCTTGTGAACTCTCAAGTTTCCTCTTTCTGCTATGTATTCAAAATTGACAGTGATTAATATGTGTGTATACACACACACGTATATAGCATGTGTACATGTGTGTTATGTATATGTGTGTGTACACATAATTATGTGTGCCAGTGAGTTGACAGAAAAAAATGACAATAAAGGTTATCTATATTATCTTTCACTTTCTCTTTTATCCTTTATGATTTCTTTTTTATTTCTTTTATGTTTTTGAAGTTTTTAAAATATAAAATCTTTTAATGAAAATTATTTTTTAAAAAGAGATAATATATTAGAAAAATTATGAAGGAATTCTGTGGTCTATGTGGAATGGTGGCTTCGAAGGTCAACTTTCAGCTATGCTTGTAGAAGAAGGAATAGTAAGAACAAGGACAAACTTTTAGCCCCACTGGTAAGCTACTGGGCTCTTTTGGTTCAAGAAGATTCTTAACTTATTTTTTTCTGATACTATGTCCTTTTCATCAGAGCATCCCCAAATCCCATGTGGAGACCCGGCAAAGGCAGACCATCATCCCACATGGAATCCCCTTTATGACAGAATTATTGCGCTATTCTGTAAGTAAGGATTCCATCTTCCTCCACTTGGAACACGTGAAAGGTGAGAATTTGTTGGTAGATGGATGGCATTCCTGATTTCATCTTCCAGACCAGATTTCTGTAAAAATGTTGACAGCTTTGCCAATAGTAGAAAGCAAGGTCACAGCCCATGTCTAGGAAGATAACCACTTGTTTGTGATTCAGTAAGAAAGAATTCTAATGAGCCATCTGAATTCTGATTAATAGTAGTGGTTAGTATTGGTGGGAAAAGTAGGTGAAACTAAACAGAGATCTGGGGTTGCAGTGTTTCCAACTATTTCTAGCTGTTACTTTTCTCCCTTTTCACAGGAGGAAACCTCTGGTCATATCTTCGCTCCCATCATGGTTCTGCCTCTGTCCGTTCTCCCTTACTGAGTTCAAAGCTCACTTCGGATTTTGGGTATATCCGGGAAGAAGAGCACATAGAAAGCTTTCATGAAACTGGTTCTGACTCTCAACAGAGCTGCAACATCTATCCTGAAAACAATAATGGCCCAATGCCTGTATCTGTAAATCATCCCCTGTTGAAAAAAATGGACTGTTTGATGTCTATGAAACATTCATCCAGCCATCTTTCTTTTAGAACCTCAAGTGAGCACAGGTGGCATACTGAAAAGGCAGGTGGACCATGGAAGAAGAATCTAAGCACAACCCACCCCTTTCCTGGTGCTACAGAATCTACAAGCAAAACCATACCTCAAGAACAGAATCACTCAGTCAGCCAGAGACTGACTTTCAGGTCCTGTGATTCATTTATGACAGTTGATGGCATTGGAACTACATCTGGGAAAGAGACTCCTCAGCCAGAACCAAAGCCACAAACAGGTAAAAGATCTAACCACTCTGCCATAGAAGTAACAAGAGGATACAACAATTCAAAGAGAGAAACTCCATGGCAAAATCAGTTGTATCCTGGAACTCTTGAAGAGGACTATGGAGAGAAGATAGAAACAAGAGGAGAAGATGACACTTTTATGCAGAGGGCACCAGTTCTTGATCATAAACATTTCAAAACCCAACTAACAATAGGATGGCATGGATCTTTAGTGGAACCAGTTGCCCAAAGCCATACTCCTCTCAATTGGGACATAAATGAGGAGCAGATCCAAGTTTGGGCAGCTGAATTGATTTTGGCTCTGGAGGGTCTCCACCAACAGGGAATCTTGTGCCAGGATCTCAACCCACGAAATCTGCTTTTAGACGATACTGGTAGGTTTTTCTTAAGGTAGAACTGAAGGAAAACTTTAGTCCATCGTGGAGGGCAGTGATAGGTGATTTTATTAAAAAGTTACTTTTCACTTGTCCTTGAGCTTCATAGGATGATGGAAGATTCTTTCATTATTATATAATATGGTCAAAGTATTGGGGGATAATGCTCTTGAGAGTCATTTGGCTCATCTTTGTCTAGATCATTCCTTTTTTCCTTTGATGTAAAGGGAAACAATGATAGACTGCATGTATCATTATATATTAAAACGGGGACTTCAGATGTACAGGTGGGATAAATTGAATCATTCAATTTAGAAAAGGAAAGTGTTTGGCTTTGCAGTGGTAACTGTTGTTGTTGACATTCTTCATAGGTCACCTCCGTCTCACATTCTTTGGCCAGTGGTGTGAGGTTGAGCCACAGTACAGCAGCCAAGCAGTAGATGATTTGTATTGTGCTCCAGGTATGCCTAAGGACTGTTGTAATCCTGCCTTTTATGTCTGGGAAAGGTTAATATACAAAGTTGTAATGTAATAATAATAATAATAGTTGGAAGAGACCTTGGAGGTCATCGAGTCCAACCCCCTGCTCAGGCAGGAAACCCTACACCATTTCGGACAAATGGCTGTCCAGTCTTCTTAAAAACTTCCAGTGTTGGAGCATTCACCGCTTCTGGAGGCAGGTTGTTCCATTGGTTAATTGTTCTAACTGTCAGGAAGTTTCTCCTTAGTTATAGGTTGCTTCTCTCCTTGATTAGTTTCCATCCATTGCTTCTTGTCCTGCCTTCAGGTGCTTTGGAGAATAGCTTGACTCCCACTTCTTTGTGGCAGTCCCTGAGATATTGGAACACTGCTATCATGTCCCCCTTGTCCTTCTCTTCATTAAACTAGACATACCCAATTCCAGCAACTGTTCCTTGTATGTTTTAGCCTAATCATCTTTGTTGCTCTTTGAGTCCCCTAATCATCTTTGTTGCTCTTTGAGATTGCTCCACTATATAGGACTACTCCAAGAATATTTAGATGTTTTGCCAATATCAGTTTTTTTATGTTTCAAGGTTTTAATTTAAATTTTTTGCAGAAGTGGGTGGAATTTCTGAATTGACAGAAGCGTGTGATTGGTGGAGTTTTGGAGCACTGCTTTATGAATTATTGAATGGAGTGGTAAGTATCCTGAAGACATTGAATCTGGATGTGTAATTCAGTATTAAGATCCCAGAAAAATGGCTGCCAATAGCACTAGCTAGAAATGTAACATCAATAGGAGCTCAGTTCTAGGACAAGGTGGGGAGCTCTTTTTCTACTGTTCTCCCTCCCTCCCTGAGATGCTGGACCTCATTGCTGGATTGGTGGTGGAGTTCCTGAAGCTGGCTGTTCTGGAGGATTTCAACTTGCCTTCCCTGGAAGATGGGTCATAAGTGGCTCAGGAGTTCATGGTGAAGATGGTCCATGATCTTGACCTTCACCAAACTATCATAAATATATCTACAGTGACATCATCCAACAATGAACAAATCCCCTTCAGAGCAACTCACTACATCTACAACTGCACATTTTATTTATTTTTTATTTATTTAGTAAATGTTTATGCTGCCTATCTCATCTGTAAGGTGATACTGGATGGTGCAGGCATCAGCCTTGCATAAACTGAATGTTGCATTATCAAATTCACGTTAATCCTGATCTAGCTGTGTACGAGTATAATAATATAAGCGTCCCAAGTGTCTGCACTTGAGACCTACTTATTGGTAGTTAATTTTAATATATTGTTACTTTTAGTGAGTGCTACAATAAAGATATTGTCTTATAAGCAAAGGCAGCTAATGATATAATTCCTAAATAGCCTCACTTCTTTTTCCCAGTCTTTATCACAGAATCATCCCTCAGGGATTCATCCATACACCCAGATCTATCTTCCAGAAAAGCTCAGCCAATCTGCTTCGTCACTTCTCTCAGAGGTGAGGTTGCTATTTAAGCACAGGAAGTGCATGATTAGCAAAAAATAAAAGTTTTGCATGCAGTGCAAATCTGAATTACAATTTTTTTTTTTTAGTTGCTGCAGTATGATCCTAAACAACGTTTGGGCTCTGGTGAAAAAGGTGCAAGCAAGATTAAGTCACACATTTTTTTCAATTTGATTCAGTGGAATAAGATGGTTGCAAACTAAGTTCTAAATGCAAGGGATGGTAAAAGAAGCATGCTTGATAGAACACCAAATTGAGAAGTTTACCTGTTGAATTGTGCTCCAGATAATCCACATCCACTGAAAAGCACTTGTATAAGCTATATGAATCTGAGACATCAGCACTGCTACCATTTAGGGAAGAATCCACAGAATTGGGCTGGGATCTGCGTGCTCAAACTTCTGCTCCTTATCTTCTTCCTAATTGCATGCTAGCAGCAGCTTCGTAAAAATTCTAGGCACCTCAAGTTTCCTATAAGGCATCAATAACCAATTTGGAGCCCTAAAGATGTCTAACGTAACCCAAATGGAAATTGAAGTCAAGCATCCTGCCCGTGCAACAAGTTCTGGCACTTCAAAGACCAACTCTGATGGGCCTCCACAAGAGTAATAAGTAGGGTCTTATTGTTTCATCCTATCTGACAGATTTTTTCCCCCAAATCAAATATGAGTAGGAGATAACTTTATATTGTATTTTCTTGTTTTCATTTCTCATGTTTAATTCAATTTTCAGATGGTTTTCTAACTTTTTCTTGCATATATTTGCCCTATAAAATTTTCATATTTTTCACCCCATTTTTTTATTTGAAGCATGTTACAACTTTTGCAGGTTAGTGGTGCATTTTTGTGAATGTACCACTAGATGGACATTTTCAGTAACTTTTAGGTGCCACAGCTTGTATTTTCCTTTCAAAAAAAAAATGACTTCTTTGTAGGTCTAACACAACCTTTTACCTAACAAGAAAGTGAGCAAAAGACCACTCTTTGGATTTCTGTGGATTATCCGTTGTCTTGTCTTTAACTATTGTAACATCAATAAAACAACCGGAGCACAAAGACTTGTGTGAATCTTTAGAAATGTTGCCATCTGCCACAAATAAGGTTTTCAAGCGAAGGCTTAGGTTGGGCTGTACCAGAAAAGCCACACTGATACTACAGGTCTGTTAGTGCTTTTTATCCAAGGAATGGCTAGCTTTGGCACATATAGGAAGGTGGTCATGCTGTCTGGGCCCCAGTTGCATAGCATACACAAATGCTGAATGGACAAGTTGTACTTCGTTTGAAGCAAAGGAAAAAAAACTTCTCCTTCAAACAGAAAATGGAAAAAAGTTCTGGTTAATCTTGGAAAATATTTTTGTAATATGATTCACTTAATATTAAGTGAATTTAGACTATAGTACACGCTAAATGGTGCCTAAAGTGTAGCACATTATTTTTCTAATGACATTTTCTTCACACACATAGTTCTTTAATATGAATCTGTAAGTAACACTAACAGATTTGTTGGATCAGTAGCTGAGGGTTAGCTCACGTATGTGAAACACATTTCAGTTTATTTGTTCAGGTTAAATGTTCTGAGCCAGCATTTGCATGTAATGAGAAACTACTTACTTGCGAGTAAAACAAACCTTTTATTAAAACAGGGCAGGAACAATCTTTGTTCTCATTGGGTAGACAAAATCAAAAAGTAGTAGTCACAAAGGAAAGTCTTTTCCCACTTCTGACACAGGGCAAGAACAGTCTCTGCTCACTTGAGACCTCCAGATAGAAAATCTTTCAAGGATTAAGCCAAGGAGAAACAGTCTCTTCACACCAGCTGAGACAAATTCACAACCTATTAGTTCCTATCAGGGAGACTCAGTTGGCACCTCACAGAAGTAGTCCCGACAAACCTGATTCTGGTAAAGGAATCTGACTTGATTGATGTGCCCTGGTAAATGAATGGTTGTCTGTGACAACAGGCCACTCCCAAGCCCCTATTTATTTCCCAGCCAGGGTGGGGCTGGCTGGCATCTACTTCTTCTTTTTCCTGAGAGCTGGCTTGTTGCCTTCCGTTGCTCTCCTCTCCTTGCATATGTGCATCTGAGACAGGTCCCATCTGTTCGTCCCCCTCACTCATCTCAGGCCCCAAAGACAGCTGCCTCTCCACCTGGATGCGGACAGACAGCCCCGGCTCTGCATCTGCCTCCTCATCAGAGCCTTCCAAAGGCTCCAAAGTTGACCTTCCCCATCCTTGTCTGATTCTGCTGCTAGCTCTGGTGGCAGCTGATGACAACACTGATTAGGCCACATTTAAATCCCTTGGAGAAAAGCCAAGTCTGGGCTCAAGCCCAATAAGTCAACACAACTATACTGTTATTTTACTTTTGTGAGATTTCGACAGCTGAAGATTTCTTATTTAATTAGTTCATCTGGTTAGATTTTAGAGCAAGCGCAGCAACAATTCTTAAGAGCTGCCTATGGAACATTTCATTTTCCTTCTCTGAAAGGCTGGAAAAGTTTTTCTAATCATCAAAGTGAAAGAAACAACACTTGTGCATAATTTCTTTGTTTTATTTTGTTTTAAAATCTGTTGTTAAATATTTTAATTACAAGTTCTGTGCAGTGGGCAAGAGTAATAAACCCTGCAGGCACTAGCAACCCTCTTACTCAACAATACATGTGCACACTATTGTACTAAGGATATGTCCCCACGAACCAGCAGTCTTATGTCAGGATATATGCCAGAGACACTCGAGTCCCAACTCACAATACCATACAATCAGGCCAAACCACTATAGACAAGTAGCTGAAGAAGTCAATCAAGGAGAATTGGGTGGAATTTAGGATAGTTGTGGAGATTACATAGCTTGAACTGGTCCCAACAGCAAGAAGGAACACCAATTCTGCCTTATTCAAGTTTTAAAAGTAACTCTTTTATCTTTTTCCAATCTGAGTTATATGCTCTTCCTGATCTTAAAGAACTATGGCAGAGAAAAATTATTGAAAGTCATTCTTAAATTGCCTGATGCTAATACAGGCTATAAAAAAGTTTGTTGGGTTAGGGTCTTACTATCATAAGTGCCAGTAAAAGCAAAAAAACAAAAACAAAAAAAAACATAAAAATTGGGTGGGACGAGGTACAGTAAATATCTGCTTTTTATTATGGAGGTGGTAAGACCAGGCACAGTGTAAAGGATCATGGTAGACAATAATTCCTCTTCCCCTGTTAACTTTGCAAAATGTAAGTCATTATGTTAAACAGAGACCCAGCAGCAATTTATCTCTTTCCTGGCATCTTGCCCCAGAGAATGAATTAAACCTGAAATTTTGTGCAAAACCAGGTTGGGAGGGAAACTCTAGCTAAGAAGCAAGTAGTTTCTCCTCCTGCAATAACCTCAGGAAAGAGACAAGGTGAGACCTAATTGGATTGGATGAGGGAAGGCAGGAAGGATAGGTTATATGTGAATAGACCAAGACAGCCTTTGATTTATTCTGGGAATAAAATGAATTCTTCTGAAGACAGCGTATCTCTCAAATTTCCTTTTAAAACACCTCTTGCAACTAGGGAAGAAAAGACTGGAATGAAGCCCTGCTGATTCCCCAATGTCCTCTGTTTTATCTGCTGGTGCTGTATCCTTGCTCTACTGGATGGGGTGAGACAGGATGTGCTGTGACCCTTTATAGGTCAAGCAGCAGAACTCGAGGATCTTCTACCACAGCCTTGATCTTGCGCAGGAAAGTCACTGCCTCCCTTCCATCAATCAACCGATGATCATACGTCAGTGCCACAAACATCATTGGTCGCACCTCAACCTAAATTAAGAGAAGTCTCATTGTTAAACTGAACATCATCTTAGGTAGCTACTCTCTCCTTCAACTTGTTTCACTTCTTGTACTTTTTCTCTATTCTAAGAACCTCAAGTGCCCTATGAATCAGCCCCCTTCCCAAAAGTTTGGTTAGCCCTTTAAGAAAGTCTCAACGACCTGATTCTTAATTCTTTGTAATTCAATGAGTTTCGTGTCCTGTTCCCATGGCATTGTTTTATCATTTTCTTTTGCTTTTTTTTTGTTTTTAAAGCTTAGTAAGTAAATAATCCTTGGTTTTAATCTTTACCAGAATTGCCTGGTAAGTAGATAACTATATAAACTGAATAAACAAATACCTTGGACCTCTTGGCAAAGAATTTGAAGTTTTGGTAGACCCAAATCCTTTTAACTTATAGCTCAAAAGAATTATCTGGATGTGATTTTGTTTTCTGAAATAATTCACAAAAGTCAAGGTTTCCAGTTATGATGTCTTTATATTCTGTTTGATTAAAACTAACCAATTTTCCCTTCCTTTAAACCAGTGTTTCCCAAACTGACAATTTTAAGGCATGAGGACTTCAACTCCCAGAATTCCACAGCCAGCAATGCTGGCTGTGGAATTCTGGGAGTTGAAGTCCACATGCCTTAAAATTATCAAGTTTGGGAAACACTGCTTTAAACTAAAGAATCTCATCAACATTAATATAACCAAGTAGGATATACTTTTCCATGAGCAGCACCGAGGAGCTTGATATTCATTTTGATGAGCATTTAAAACTACATAAGAGCTAATTATGGAAACGTGGTTTTCAGTGACTAAGATAATGTTAAAAGAACCCTTAAATTCTGAGTGTCATCTCCACAGAGCATACCTTGCCTCCGATAGCAACAGGCCTGTCAAAGATGCCATGCATGCCCAAGATGGCAGACTGAGGAGGGTTGATGATGGGTGTTCCAAAAAGAGATCCAAATACTCCACCGTTGCTGATGGTGAATGTACCACCATCCATATCCTCAATGGCCAGCTCATTCTTGCGAGCCTGAAATGAGATAAAACAATGACCACAAATGACTTATGCTGGAATGTTAAAAAGAAAATCAGAAAAAAAAAGTATCTGGGTCTCAACTCTCAACAGAACAAACACGGATATTACAAATACGAGTACTTCTCAGAGCAAAGACAAGGCATTACTGTCCCACTTCAATCTCTAGTAAAATACAGCAGTCCTTTGAAAGTTCACAATTTCAGACTATTTTTTAAAAATTTTCTTCAACGCTGAAGAGACTGTGACAGAACAGTCAGAATTCAACAAATTGGCAGAGAATTGTGAAAACGATGTATTCAGAAACAAAAAAAGAGAGATTCTTTGTGTATGTTAGAGACAGAGAAAAAGCCAAGGTCTAAGGTAGGAAGAACATAGTGAGTGAATTAGTAAAAGGTGCTGAAGAGAGGGCCGAACTTTTAACTCTTATTCACCTCTATCTTGCCTCAGAATAGAAATGGAGAGCTAGCTGGCCATCATTATGCTATTATGAGGAATGAGGAACTGCACCAAAACGAATAAGCTAAGAAAAAAATCCTAATTTAATTGAATTAAAATCTCCAGGGCTGGATGAATTACATCTTGGGTACCAAAAGAATGAATGGAGGCAACTGCAGAATGACTTTTAATAAATTTAGGAGCCCCAGAAAACGGGCAAGGACTTCTGTAAGAGTAAAGAATGAATGTTGCCCCTAGCTTTACATTTATACAGGACAAGGTCTTACAATAGACTAATCAATATTGCATTTGTGAACACTTGGGACAGGCATGTCACAATTAATAGGAGTCAGACACGCTATCTTCTCAGAGTTATTAGCTCATAGTTCAAATGAATGCTGCTGACAGTTTATCTTGATCTCAGAAAAACCTTCAATGAAATCACTGATATACACCTCTTAATAAAATGGTAAAGCATTGACTAGATCAGTGGTTCTCAACCTGTGGGTCGGGACCCCATTTGGGGTCAAACGACCATTTCACGGGGATCGCCAAACAACGCAGTCCGCCATTTTTTTCCCCTTTTCCTTAGCTGTGCTACTCCCTTTTATTCTATTGGCTTTTGAAAGCCAATAGAATAGACTCTCTTGAATAGAGTCTAATTCTATTGGCTTTCAAAAGCCAATAGGAATTATCCAGGCTGTCTCTGCCCTGCTGAGCCCGCCAAAAGTCCCATTCTGCAAATGGTGCTGCACCAGTTGAGTAGTCCTCGACTTACGACCGGTTGAGTAGTCCTCGATTTATGACCGGTTGGGGGTCGTGGCATTAAAAAGGTTGAGAACCACTGGACTAGATGATAAGTTTGATGGATGGGCTCATTCTTGACTGAATGACGGTATCCAAAAAGAGCTCATTTAATGACTCTAGTTTGAAGGGAATTATTACAGGAAGAGGAACTGCAGCAAAGGACAGATAAGACAAGGAGAAAACTGCTAATTTATATGAATTCAAATCTGATCTGTTTCATCTAACACTGCCCGATTCCATCTAACTTCAGGCAATATACAATAAAACCAAGAACATAAAAATACCATACAATAATTATAATAGGATAATAGGTTAACAAAAACTGGTCACAGATCCAGCAAACACCCCCATACACAATTCATTGGGGACTCTTATCACCATAATCTTTAAGGGAATTTAAGGGAGGTGTAGCTGGTGATAGCATTCTAAAAGATGTATTAAAGGCTGGCCAGGAATCTGAGGTGAGACCTGGCATTGTCTCAAAAGAGAATGATGGAAAACTTATGTGCAAGTCTATCTTTTCCAAAACTGTATCTCTGTTTACAGAACATATTTGCAATGCGCTGTACCAAGAGACCTTATTGGTGTAGGTACCAAGATTAATCCAACTTTGTGCCGAGCTGATCAAATGGTAGGTAGGGCAAGCTCTAGGTGAAGTTGAAGTACCACCTGAAATATTCACAGAACTTGAAATTTCCTATTTCTTGTTGAAGCAACTATTGAGTGTCCTTAATGAAGGTAATAAAATAGCTGCCAAGGTACAAAAAATATCCAAAAATGGAAGTTCTAATGGTAAACCTAGGAAGTATTTCAACCGGAAGATGGGTCAGTGCAGTGAAAGCTGATCTGGAGAAAATAATACTAACTAATCCTGTATGCACTGAAGTAAGAGAAAAAAATTGCCCTTAGTCGAAGAGTTGACATTTAATTGGATGGGGACAGATTAGAAGACTGACAATCAAGCATACTGTGGAGGATGATTAAAAGCAAAAAAACAGTTCTTTAATTTGTAAAGAATGGTGTGTGTTTCTATATAGTTGGAATGTATCTTCCGTGAGGAAGTTGTTGCATAGAGAATGTCCATGTTGTACTGAAAATTAGTGCTTGTCAGTATGTGCAATAAATTAAACAAATTGGCAAAGATGGAACTAATTCTCCAATATTTTATCCAAACTAAATTTGTTTTGTTTAATTTATGTCAGTTTTTTAGAGACTATGTGGGGCTGGCTATTTGATTTTAAACAATGTAACTCAAGACCCCATAATCTGATTTGAAAATTGCTTATTTTTTTCATTTAACACTTATAGGTAGCTTTATAACAAAAAACTGAAACATTTGTCAATGGAACAAATGTTAAAAACTAAACTTTATGATTATAAGACACCCAGAGCAATCCTGTGGTAAGATGGGTGGCCAATAAATTTTATAAATAAATAAAATAAATAACAATTGAAAGCCTGGGGAAGTCTTGAGAAGATTTCAGTAGGGCTGAGTCCTGGGCCTTGTATAGATCAACTTTTTTATCTAGAGATTAGTAAGACTCATGGGGATACTTATCAAGTTAACGGATGACACAAAACTGGCAGAAACAGTTTAGTGGAGTGAGACAATTCAAAAGCTCTAGATGGGCTTAAGCAAGGCACCAAAATTAATACAATTTAACAAAGGAATAGAAAGTTCTGCAAATGTATGAAAAAGGAAACCACAACTATAGGAAGGGAGACCAGGCTCAGCAGAAGTACAATGTGAAAAAAAAATGGTGTTCTTGTAGTATGTAAGTTAAAAATGAGCCAGCAGGGTGTTGTATAATCTAAAAGGTCAAATGATATCTTGGGATGCATTAGCAAAAGCATATAGCCCAGATCACCGGAAACAAATGCTCCATTCTCTTCTGCCCTGGTCAAAGCGCAGTTGAAATACAGTGTTTAGTTCAAAAAAGGATAGTACCAAATTAGGGTAAGTTTGGAAGACCCCTACTAAGATTCTGCAAGTTAAGCTGAATGAGGAATAGTTAAAAGGGTCAGGGCACATTCAGCATATTGATCAGAAGATTGAGAGGAAATTTAGCAATCTTTAGTTTCATGACCAGATCCAGTGGGTTAGAACTAGATCTCGAGAAGAACTTCTTAACTACATAAACTGTCAGCCAATGAAATGGGGTGCCATATGAAGTAGTGAGCTTTCTTTCCCCAAGTTATCAATACTTGATGATCATCTATGAGAGATGCTATGGGTGGATCTTGCACTGAGCAGAGGGCTGATTTGCAGGACATGATTTTTCCTAGTACACAGCATATACACATAATATTAAGAATGATAAGGATTAACCTGTTCTGCGACAACGCTGATAAAACCTTTCTGGATATGTAAAAAAAAAAAAAATAGGAACACGTGGTTCTACTATCTGGAAGAAAATTATTTATCTGTTCCTGGGTATAGTTTTAAAATGGTCTGGCAGGATCTGTTTGGCACCAGGCTAGAAACCAGACCAGGAGTTCTACTCCGGCTTTAACTATGAAACCCAGGGTGGTTGTTATGGTGAAAATGAGAGGAAGGAGTTAATCACCTTGAATTGTTTATAAAAGAATTAATGAAGGTGAGAAATAAATAAACTAACAAACAAATCAGTTTTATACTAGGTAGGAAGAAAAAAATGTTCTCCACACTGGTAGACTTTCTGGAGGCATATTTCTGACTAATCTTTAAAACAAAATGCTGAACTACCCAGATGTTTATTGGATCAATTAACACTGGAGGAATGTCTTATATTAAACTGTTAAAAGTATGAAAGTGGAGAATATTCAGATACCGTTTGCCTTGTCTTCAACTTGCTGAATGTGAATTTTGATTGTTACTTTTAATTTCTGCAAGCTATATTCTATTTTTTATTTCTAAAACAACATGTGGATTATACTGTATCTTTTGAAGATCTTTTCAGAGTAATTACCTTCTCTCCCAGCTCATTTATTGCACGTTCAATGTCAGCAAAATTCATCGTTTCTACATTTCTGATGACTGGGACCACTAGACCCTATAGGAAATAAAAAACACTGAATAACCAATATTAACAACGTTTCAAAAAATATATAGAAAAAACTAATTAAGGACCTTTTTGATTCATTGAGTCAAATATCTTTTCTAAAATGATCTCAACTATAACAATTCATTCATTTTGCTAGTAGGATATGTTTAATATTTTGAATTTAACATTGAATATTTGTCATGTTAGACCAGTGGTGGCGAACCTATGGCACGGGTGCCAGAGGTGGCACTTGGAGCCCTCTCTGTTGGCACAGGTGCCGTTGCCCCAGCCTTGCCTCCCCCTGCGACCCCCTCTTCACCAGCAGCCCCCTGGAGAAGAGTCACCCCCGAGCGTGGCCCACACGGAGCAGCGTACCCAAGGACATGGCAACCAGGAAGTGTAGACAAGACTCTGCCCTCATGCCCCATCGCGCACAGTTGATACTGTGGGGCCTGGGCAGAGGGCTGGCCAACATGGCGCTGCTGGGCTGCCTGGGTGATCTGCAGTGGGCCCTGGAGGTGGTAAGTGGCCCTGCGGGCAGGCAGGGTAGGGGTGGGGCATGGGGTGGAGTAAGGGCGTGGCCAGTTTTTGGGCACTCGGTCTCTAAAAGGTTCACCATCATTGTGTTAGACCATGGCTACATTTATGTGTAAAAGGAAGGCAGAACTGGAGCTTATCCAGTGAGGGAAAAAATTATTTGATCCCCTGCTGATTTTGTACATTTGCCCACTGATCAGTCTATAATTTTAATGGTAGGTTTATTGTAACAGTGAGAGACAGAATAACAACAAAAAAATCCAGAAAAGTGCATTTCAAAAAAGTTATAAATTGATTTGCATTTTAATAAGTGAAATAACATGACTTAGTACTTGGTGGCAAAACCCTTGTTGGCAATCACAGAGGTCAGACGTTTCTTGTAGTTGGCCACTAGGTTTGCACACATCTCAGGACGGATTTTGTCCCACTCCTCTTTGCAGATCCTCTCCAAGTCATTAAGGTTTCAAAGCTGATATTGGCAGCTCAAACCTTCAGCTCCCTCTACAGATTTTCTATGGAATTAAGGTCTGGAGACTGGCTAGGCCACTCCAGGAACTTAATGTGCTTCTTCTTGAGCCACTCCTTTGTTGCCTTGGCTGTGTGTTTTGGGTCATTATGATGCTGGAGTACCCATCCATGACCCATTTTCAATGCCCTGGCTGAGGGAAGGAGGTTCTCGCCCATGATTTGATGGTACATGGCCCCACCCATCGTCCCTTTGATGCGGTGAAGTTGTCCCCTTAGCAGAAAAATACCCCCAAAGCATAATGTTTCCACCTCCATGTTTGACGGTGGGGATGGTGTTCTTGGGGTCATAGGCAGCATTCCTCCTCCTCCAAACACGGTGAGTTGAGTTGATGCCAAAGAGCTCTCATTTTGGTCTCATCTGACCACAACACTTTCACCCAGTTGCCCTCTGAATCATTCAGATGTTCATTGGCAAACTTCACATGGGTCTGTACATGTGCTTTTTTGAGCAGGGGGACCTTGCCGGCACTGGAGGATTTCAGTCCTTCACGGCATGTGTTACCAATTGTTTGCTTGGTGACTATGGTCCCAGCTGCCTTGAGATCATTGACAAGATCCTCCCATGTAGTTCTAGGCTGATTCCTCACCATTCTCATGATCACTGAAACTCCACGGGGTGAGATCTTGCATGGAGCCCCAGACCAAGGAAGATTGACAGTTATTTTGTGTTTCTTCCATTTATGAATAATCACACTGTTGTTACCTTGCAACCCATTCCAACCTTGTGTAGGTCTACAATCTTGTCCCCGACATCCTTGGACAGCTCTTTGGTCTTGGCCATGGTGGAGAATTTGGAATCTGATTGATTGCTTCTATGGACAGATGTCTTTTATACTGGTAACAAGCTGAGATTAGGAGCACTCCCTTTAAGAAAGTGCTCTTAATCTCTAATGGTTATCTGTATAAAAGACACCTGGGAGCCAGAAATCTTGCTGATTGATAGAGGATCAAATACTTATTTCACACATTCAAATGCAAATCAATTTATAACTTTTTTGAAATGCATTTTTCTGGATTTTTTGTTGTTATTCTGTTTCTCACTGTTAAAATAAACCTACCATTAAAATTATAGACTAATAATTTCTTTGTCAGTGGGCAAATGTACAAAATCAGCAGGAGATCAAATAATTTTCCCCCTCACTGTACCATGAATGAGCAACATGCTGGCACATACTACCAGACTGCTCCGAACAACAATTGAGTCATGGACTTGAACAATTGTCCCGTGGATTGGATTTACTATGAAATGCACACTGGATATTCGGACATGTTAACCCAGAGAGAAGGAGCTAAGTGGAGAGTAATCAATCAGAGTGCCAAACTATAACGAATTAGAATTCTGGCTAACTGTTGCATATACATACATATTGTATGAAACAGGTATTTAGGTGCCCAGTGATCTAGTAGCACTAGGACTGTGGGACTTCAAAAAAACACCCCACAAGTCTTCAGAACTCTAGTTCATCTTTAGAAGCAGAAAAATGAAAGTGAACTCAACTTACTTGTCTCTGAAAGAAAAAAAAGGAAACAAATGCAGGAGACAAGGACTGTTATTCTACCTAGGATTAAATTTAAGATTAAGTAGAAATAATTTCTACTACCATGGAGTTTTGTCCAAAAACTACTATGCAGGTTTTGGACAGAAGTAACCCTCCTTCATCTATCACTGCAGAGTAAGACAACATCAATAGGCTCAGCTTCCATTTCATAAAACCAGTCTTGGCTTATTTCTAACCCCAGTACCCCTTTTCATAAATTTGAATAATCAACTGGCCAGGTGAAATTGTCTCCATAATACCTACCCTAGGAGTTGCCACTGCAACACTGATATCCACATATTCTCTGTATACCATTTCTTTGGTTGTATCATCAATCACTAAGTTGAAAAAGGAAATTAGGTGTTACACAGAGCAACACCAACAATCAAGACATGACTTAGAAGAACTACACATTAGTGAGTATCAAGGCCTACCTAGTACCTTCTTATTTGCTGCAAATTAGTTGCCTCATTTTACTTGAAATACTTGAAAGACATATCTGTGAATTTTAATTTTACTCATTCTAATTTTTTTCAGTTGAATTTTAGTTCATCCCATTTCTGCATTGCTTATCAAAGACTTGGAAAAATGTGTGTGTGTGTGTGTATATATATATATATATATACACACACACACATATACATATACTTATATATGTGTGTGTGTGTGTGTGTGTGTGTGTGTGTGTGTGTGTATATATATATATATATATATATATATATTCTTGCGTATATTTTTCTTAGCACACTGTACATATTTTCTGTAACATATTTTTGCAGTATTCCCTAATGCAAACTTGTCTGTGTACGCCAGATAATGTTTTGGGGCCAATGAATATAATTTAAATTTTGACAGTATGTTATAGTGCTTTTTAAAATATAGTTACTTTTGCTACATACCATCTTTCTGTGTTGTTTTCAAAATATCTTTAAAAAAACAAGCAGCCAGATAGATAGCAAGGGATATAGTATGGACATACTACCAATAGTATCCCTACTGTTGCAGATCCTCTCTCTCTCTCTCTCTCTCTCTCTCTCTCTGTATGTGTGTGTGTGTGTATTACAAATATATCCTATTTTTAATGCAGATTTCTAATTTGCATTATGAAATTCATAAAATAGCAAAGATCAGAATAAAACTCTAATCCTAGGAGTGTAGATAAATTGAAACTGGACTGGGAAGTTGAAAATACATCCTGGAAAAAGGCAGGTTAAACCATTCTGTGTTGTTACCAAAAACATCTATAAGGGTGAGCCCACGAAGTCACACAATGTGTTGAGCTTCTCGCAGTTAATTTTTAAAAAAGTCTTATAAAATCTGAAAAAGTTTTATGATTTAAACAAATTTTCTTCCATCTTTCACACTATCCCAAGTCTCAAAACACAGAACTTGAGGCAACACATAAAATAATTTTATTCCAGTTTGGAAAATAAATTGTAGCTGAAATTTATCCTGCTGCCTTCTTTCAAACTGCTTCACAATTTTTTCCAAGCCCTTTGATAAGATAGAGCATACATTTTTGTCTTATTTAAACAATGTTTGAATAAAGTAAGGAATAGCAGGGCGGAGCCTGTTGGCATCCATTATTTCTTACCTTATTCAAATCATCAGCCATATGAGAGAAACCTCTGTCCCTCTTCTAAGCCTTTGGTACTTGGCTAGAGAGCTAAGAAGACAACTGTGCAGCAGTTTGGAGATTGGAAGAAAGAGCAAAAGAAATTTTAAAAATACATGCTTATTATCATACATCTTGCCCTTTTGTTGGGGCCCTCAGTAGTCTCCCATTCCAGTTATTGAAAAGGGGCTGCAAAAAAAAGTCTTGTTGACTATATTATTACTATAGTACAAGTGAGAGAAATTCCTGTCTCTTTTCCAAAGTTGACTGTCAACCTAGAAGCCAAGCCTTTCAGAAAAGACAAGTAGAGGCAAGGTAGGAAACCACATCTGCAAATCATGGTGAAAAAAATATGCTTCTGCAAATCATAGTGGAAAAGTAAGTTAGGATTTTCTCAGAGTATCCTCTCAGAGGATCATTTCCTAATAAAACCACCATCATTATTACTGATGAAAGTCCCCACATGCAAATCAGAAGGTCTTTTTCACCCCCACTTTGATTATTCTTTTGCTGAGAAAGGGTTTGTTTCAGCACAGGGATTTTGACCTAACAAGTCCAGGTGACACAATCAGTAACACAGTAGACTTTCTTAGTAGCAAAATATTTAATTATGAAGTGGGCTAATCCCAGCTCCATATATACTTGGTCTGTCATCTACTCAGAAATATAAGCGCTGGCTTCTTACCTGCATTCACAACAGGCTGCTCTTGCAAAGCAAAGGCTGCAGCTTTCACAAAGGCAGACATAAAACCTAATTTCATATTGTGCTTCTTCAGGAAGCTGTCCCTGTGCCGGGCTCTCATTTCCTGGATGTTACTGCAAATACCATAAGAATATTTACCACAAATTTTACAAAAGATTTTCAAACCTGCAGTACATTTCACCTGATGCCTAGTTATTTACTGAATTGCATCTCAAACATGCCATGTATGGTTTTTTTTTAATGCAAATACAAAAGCCTCACACAAGAAGTGACACTATTATCAACAATGCTTATCCAAAGCTCAGACTGAATGGTGTATTTTCCAAATTAAAAAAAAATGTTTTAATGGATATCAAGATTTTCAATAGCTTCTGGATTCTTAAAACTACTACTAATATATTAAGGCTAATGTTAATGTTCAAGGACACAATAATTCAGCTTTTTTTCAAGAATGAACTATTATAATTAATGAACTTTTTAAATATAATAAACAACAAATCAATGTAATCTGCTTTGATAAATAAATCACTGTTCAGAAAGTAATAGGTAAAATTTTGTTACAAAACTTCGGCATCAGTAATAACTGTGCCTTCCAAATGGGTTTTTATTTAATAACCTTAACCACAGTAAGTACGGGATTGTTTTACTAAGGCTTGATTGAATGTCTTGGAATCATGGGTGTCAAATTCACTGCGTCATGTGATGTGTTGTGACGTATCGCAACTTTTTTTGCATTGCCGGAACTGGAGTGGGTGCGGCCTCCGCATGACACAAGCAGCCTGCAGACCGGCAGTTTGACACCCCTGAGGTAGTCATACTGTATAAAGCAGTGGTGGCGAACCTATAGCATGCATGCCAGAGGTGGCACTCGGAGCTCTCTCTGTGGGCATGCGTGCCATTGCCCCAGCCCCACCTTCCCCCGCAACCCCCTCCTCACCAGCAGCCTGCCTGGAGGAGAGGCTCCCCCAGGCACGGCCCACACAGAGCAGTGCAGCCAAGCACATGGCAGCCGAGCAGCAGGGGCAAGACTCTGCCCCTGCGCCCCATCACATGCAGATGATGCTGCAGGGTGCGGGCTGAGGGCATGGCCACCATGGCGCTGCAAGGCTGCCTGGGCGATCTGTGATGAGTGGCCCTGCGGGCGGGTGGAGTGGGGGGCAGAGCAGTGGGCAGAGCAGGGATGGGGTACTCGGTCTCTAAAAGATTCGCCACCTATGGTATAAAGACTTAATTCTTGCAATAATGTAGTAGATCCAATCAATCAGAATAAAACTGGAAGGGATCTTGGAGATCTTCTAGTCCAGCCTCCTGCTCAAGCAGGAGTCCCTATATCATTTCAGACAAATAGTTGTCCAGTCTCTCTTAAAAATCTCGAGTGATGAAGCACCCACAACATCTGAAGGCAAGCTGTTCCACTGGATAATTGTCTTCATTGTTAGGAAGTTTCTCCTTAATTCCAGGTTGCTTCTCTCCTTCATTAGTTTCCATCAGTTGTTTCTTGTCTTGCCTTCTGGAGCTTTGGAAAATAAATTGACCCCCTCCTCCTTGTGACAGCCCCTCAAATACTGGAATACTGCTATCATGTCCCCCCTAGTCCTTTTTTTCTCTAGACTGGCCATTCCCAAATCGTGCAACCATTCTTCATGTTTTAGTCTCCAGGCCTTTAATCATCTTAATTGCTCTTCTTTGCACTTTTTCCAAAGTCTCAACATCTTTTTTGTAATGTGGTGATCAAAACTGGATGCAGTATTCCAGATGTGGCCTGCTTTATAAAGTGGTACTAATACTTCATGTGATTTTGATTCTATGCCTCTGTTTATACAACCAAGGATTATATTAACTTTTTTAGCTTCTGCCGCACATTGCTGACTCATGTTTAAGTGATTGACCACTAGGACTCCCAGGGCTCTCTCATAGTTACTGTTTTTGAGCCAGGTTTTGCCTAATCTGTACTTGTACCTTTAGTTTTTCCTGCCCAGGTGTAAAACCCTGCTTTTCTCAACATTAAATATCACTTTGTTAGATAGGTCCCATTGTTCAAGTCTGTCAAGATCTTTTTGGATTCTGAGCTTGCCTTCTGGGGAGTTGGCTATTCCTGCCAGCTTGATGTCATCTGCAAATTTGATGAGATCTTCTATTCCTTCATCTAAGTCATTTATGAAGATATTGAAGAGTACTGGGCCTAAGACAGAACCTTGTGGTACCCCACTAATTACTTCCCTCCATGTAGATGTAGTACCATTAAGGACTATTCATTGAATATGGTTTGTCAGCCAGTTACACATCCATTTGGTGGCAATGCTGTCAATCCCACATTTTTCTAGCTTAACAAGAAGTAGATTGTGGACTACTTTTGTCAAATGCCTTGCTGAAGTCTAAATATATTATATCCACAGCATTTGGCTGGTCTACTAATTTAGTCACTTTGTCAAAGAATGAAATAAGATTGGTTATTAACAAACCCGTGGTGGCTACTAGTTATAACTTTATTTGTTTCTAGATGTTCACAGATCTGTTTTTTGATTATTTTTTCCAATATCTTCCCAGGTATTGATGTCAGGCTGATTGGTCTGTAGTTTCCTGGGTCTCTTTTTAATTCTTCCTTTTTTGAAGATAGGAACCACATCAGCTCTTTTCCAATCCTCAGGTAGTTCCCCAGTGCTCCAAGATTTTTTAAAGATATGATACAATGGTTCTGAGATAATATCTGCCAGTTCTTTCAGAACTCTGGGATGTAATGATGTAAACTTCATTGAAACATATTCTCCTGGTTTTTAAATTTAATATGATGGCTTCACAAGAACTCCTAATGCCTTTATTAAAAAACAATACCAATCATGCTAAGCTTTTGATGTCTTGCAATAGCCAAATATCTAATGTTGGTTACCAAAATAAGGATGCAGCTAATCAGTTACTTAGAAAAGATTGAAAAGTATTAATGTTAAATATTTACAGTTTAATATTTTTTTTCTATTCCTTAATATAATACATTCAGTAATGTTTACACTTCATCCTGTTTCCCACTGAGTCTTTCAACCATAATAACTTACTACAATCCATACATAAACTTCAGTCAGAATCTGCTCCCACACAAGGAAAGTGCACTCTAATTTCTCATGGTTATTCAATTTAGGATCATAAATCACAAAATAAATATACAAAAAAGTGAATAGGTCTAGAGGAAAGGGAAGATTGAAAAAGTTGTGACTGATGAGATCCTCAAAAAGAGAGAAGTTTTAAAAACAAAAGGTAGCACAGGAAATGCTTTTGGGTCATGGTGGTAAAAAGGCGAGTTTGCAAGGATATAAAGGGGATGATGAGATAAAGTGAATTATGTTCATATAAACAAGATTTGACTATCTTTTTTCCTTTGTGCCTTTAATTTTTTTGGCTTGCTCTTTCTTACTCCCTTTATGCATCTTGCCTAATGTTGCTTTCCACAGAAAAGAATAGCATGACAGGCACAAATGTATGCATGCTATGAATAAACATCTGAATCAATTGTGGAACAAAAATGAGGAAGCAACAGCTTATTGGTACAGTATGTTTATCATGAAGTACAGCATGAAGGTAATCCTATGTTCAATCCCTGAAGCTTTCAGCAAAGTTTCTTTGATAGCAAAGAAGATAAGAGAATGTCCAAGACTGAAGATACAATACCAAGTCAAGCACTCTCCTGGAAAGATTGATTCCAGCTGTGTACAAAGAAACTTCAGTATAAGATATATTAGAATAAGATAAAGAATTTTGTATTTTTATGTAGACTTGGTCTATCTACCATAGACAAACTCATATTTTTATTTTTAAAAAAGAGGATCTAAAAAAAGAAATAGCATATTCACATTTCTTTGGCCAGACTTAAAGCAAACTGCTCGAGTATGGGAGTAGGACCTTTCAAAGTCTCCAATATAATGGCACTTTGAAAGCATCTTTAATCAGAACAGAAAACCGTAATTTCCCTTGTTCACTTACTGGAAGAGAAGCCAGCCACACAAATTAAACTGAATAATTGTGTCATATAATTCTAGATAGATATTGAAGTTTCAATCTTCATCATCAATCTCCTAGACAATACGGCTTTAGAGAGGCAGTTTTTAGCCAACAGAAATGTCCCTCTGGGTTTTGTCTGTTTATTTTTTCTTTGCCAAATCTCATTTAGAGCTAAGGTTACTGTCCAAAGACATTACTGCCTCCCAAGATACAAGATCTGCAGGTATGAAGTGGTGGCTGAAAAGAGGAAGCCATCTAGAGCAGGTTTCACGGCCGACACTGACCTCGAGCAGGGAAGCAAAAGGCCTCAGTCTCAACCCTTGCAAGCCAGCTCTGTGGCATACCGCCAGTCGGCAATCAATGCAAAACATATTACTGATTGCAACAAGAGCACAAGGCCAGAGTAAAGTGACACTTCCATTAGTCTCTAATAGGAGATAAGCTGCATCACTTCCTTTCCAATCAGGACTATTTTGCCAACCTTAATATTCTAAGCACAAAATATTTACATGTTTTGCTTTAAAAAGGAGGATAAGATTTCATGGGGCAATTTGATTTGGGCATCATTTCCCTAATGCACTGAAACATAAGCTTCCCCCTCCTCAAATCCATTAGAGCTTGGGCCACCCAAGCACTTGGCTTGAACACTGTTGGCTCCCCCACCTCAAATACCAACATTAAACTTCAACGAGCGCTCCCCAACTGCTAAACTAATTGAATTCTTCCTGTAAGCATCTCAACTCAACAACAGTTAACTAACTAGAGATAAACAGACAATATATAAAAATGGTGAGAACTCAAGCAAAGATTATGTAAATTATTCACAGCCGCAGACCCATACCAAGAGAAGAAATTTCTCTCCTCTCCTGCTCTACCACAAGGTGGTCAGTGAAAAACTCAGAAAATCTCCATCCTAATGTACAAATACATATTCTGGTTCTAAATAGAAAATAATTCTTTTACTGGAATTCTTGTATTATTCCATCTTAATAAAGCCTGCAAAAAAAAAAAAAAAGAATTTTGTTTTGCTTGGGATTCCTGCTTGGAAGAGAAACATTCTCAAATCAGACAGCTACCAAAAATCTGGTATAATGTTATTATCAATGCGGGATTTCTGAATTTTTAATAGAGGACAATAACAAGATCAGATATTTTTGTCAGCAAGAGATGCATATTTAACAACATGTTCTGTGTAGTTTCTATCAATATCATGTGGTATCACTTTTTCCCAAACGCTAACCAAAATAATCGGCTTTAACATTAATACAGCTTTAAAAACGAAGCACCCAAATACAGGGAGAATCAGATTGAAGACTCTCAAACACGGAAGTCATTCTTATGCTGAATGAGAGCAAAGCCCTACCTCATGTCAATTTCATTGAAAGTGGTCAGCATGGCACATGTATTCTGAGCCTCTTTCAGCCGCTGAGCAATGCGTTGACGCATTCTGTTCATCTTTACCTGAAGACAGAAATAAATCATAGAAAAATAGTAAAGAGCCTGAACAAATTAAAAGCATACCCTTTCTCTCTCTCTCTTCCTGATGAACACCTCAGAATAATTTATCTACACATAATGGGTTATCTTCAGCAGTGAATCCAAAACGTAATCAAAAGTCATTTTTAGCCTGAAATAATTGCCCAGGTGAGACACAATAAAAACAAATGATATCACAAGGCATCAGAAGTCAAACTGCTATGAAAAGAAGTTGTACGACATAGGAGTTTATCTCTGGAATCTCAAGAAAGCTAGCAGGATAGATTTTAAGAAGGTAAATTTCAAACATTCACACTTGCTAAAGCGGTTTGCAATTTCCACTACAGATAATTGCGGCTTATGACCGTAATTGAGCCTGGCAGTTACGGTCGTAAGTCATGATGAAGCAGGTCATCACATGTCCTTTTCTGAGGTAGTCATTAGGTGAACATGGTTGTGAAGCATGTGCCAAGATCATTAAGCAAACCCATTGCTTCTAACTGGAAGTAAACACCAATTTCCAGAAAAAAAACTTAATAAATTGCATTCACATGATGGGGAGGGAGGAGGAGCTGCAAATAACTGTACATGTGGGTTGGTTGCCAACCACCCAAAATGTGGTCACACAGCTGCCCTCCCAGACATAACATTCGAATCTGGATCATGAGTAGTTTTGGGGAGTTCAGTCGTAAGTGGCCTGTGGTAAATCGACAACTACCTGTATTAACCATCTGAGTAAGAACATTCATGAATGAAGAACTTTCTTGGGTTCAGCCATTGCCCTTAACTCTTTAGTGTTACTTTGTTACAGCCTTTTATGAGGCTCTTTTGAAAATATTTTTTGTTCTGCCTCAATGCTATCATACTACAATTCCTTACAGAAATGAGTATTCACATCATATCCCACCAGACTGAGAAACCTCCAAGTACCCTTTGTTCCAATCTGGCACCTTTGCCAGTCCCAGGTTCCACAGCAGGAGAAGCTGTTGGCACTGCAGTTGGCTTTATTGCAGACACTGAAAGTCAATGGAAAAGTAGAATGTCAGGGGATTAAGCAAGCAGGGATCATTTCCTTGAATAAAATGAGTTGACACCAATGCTCTGAATGTAAACGAAAGCCTCAGTTTGGAGATAAAGCCTCTAACTATGTATCATTTCACAATCTTAAGTTCTGAGGTCCCTCTATTACATAGATGGGAAAGCAAGAACAAGAATGTTGTAATCTCACCTGGTTTAGCATCAACAGGGAGTGCTGACACTGGGGGCACTGGAGGCATTGTAGTGGGAATTGGTGCTTCAGAGGGAGGTGCTACAGGAGCTGGAGATGGTGGTGCTGCAGGAGCCACGGGCTCTGCTGCAGGGGCTGTTGCTGGCTTGGCTTTGGCAGGTGCAGCTTAGTAAAAGAAAAAGTATTACATATATGGATAATAGAAGCATATATATATAATTTATTTTGCAGTCACAGACCAAAATGCAAGTGCAACAAAAAAGCATATTTTTTCCAAGCAAACAGTTCCAGCAAAAAATGTTTTTACATAAATACACTCTGAAGGTTCTCTATGGCACTCATAAACTATTGACATGGCACGGCGGTGTGGAAGGTATATGCTTAAGCAACAAAAATCTGTGAGAGAACTACAGCATTTCTATTAAATAGTTTTCAGGACTCTAAAGCCCTAAAATCATCTATTCCTAATGATGCAAATCTTGATCCATGAAATTAACATCTGAAGTCATGTCCCTAGCATTAGCTATCTGGCGGAATCAAGAAAGAGATCCTATTTTGAATAGCTATTTTATTACATTGCTTACTCTATTGAGTATATAAGCTAGATATAACAAAGCCCAACCTATGGTCTATACAGGATCAGATCTAATTATAGGCTTTGTTATATCTAGCTTATATACTTAATAGAGTAAGCAACGTAATAAAATAGCTATTCAAAATAGGATCTCTTTCTTGATTCCGCGAGAATCCGCCGTGGCCCACTACCAGGCCATGGCCTCTTGGCCACTGGGCCATGTGAGTGGCCAGACAATGCGCACGTACATGTGTGCGCACTTACCCCCTTGTGCCGGCACTCGTTGAGCCACAACAAGCCTATTGCCAGCATTAGCAGCCCCATTTGCAGAGTGTGCCTGCACTTGCCCGTTCGCGTGCATGTGCCTGCAGCCACATTTGTGTGTGTGCGCATGCGCACATAAAGATACCTGCCCCTTCCTTTCCCACCGGGCCACCAACCCAGAAAGGTAGGGGAACCCTACTATAAACCATATTCCAAATTGTTCATCAATGCAAGAAGATAGTAATAATTTCACGTCTATTTTCTTTGCTTTATTTCCATGTTTCAATTTATGGCAGAGAACATGCAACCTTCATTTTCGGTCATTTCAGAAAGTAGTTATGATCAGTCCTTCACCTGAAATTCAGACTTCTCGTCTATGGCAGTTTTTATTAGGGGGAAAAAAGCTGCCCTTTCCTTGCTGGTGAGTTGAGCATTCCACATTTTACCCAATAAAAAAAGTGCATATTTTTTTGTCCTTTGAACAAATTTTACAATCAATTCCCTATACATGCCATAAAGGTTTACAATGCATTAATATGAAAAACCGATGCCATAAGGATGAAAAACAACCTAATTTATGTGATTTAATCCAATTTGAACTTCATGTACATATGAATGAAGGCGAATATACGTGTCCCAGGATAATGTTCCAGGATCCAATCTGAGTCAGTCACTGAGACCAGAGTTTCTGTCTTCCAAGCTTTCGGACTCATGCCGGAGCCCCCATCCTCAGGAAGCTTCTCTCTAGGTAGATCCTTCACATATATATATCTTTTAATTTATATTGCAATTATATAATGATGTAAAATGAATAGTAACTAATTTAAGTCACCCATGTAAACAACTTTCAATCATACAATCCACATTTACCTCCAGTTTTCCTGAGTTTAAATAAAGGTGTTCCTCCTTCTACTTTCCCTCCATCAGGGACAAGTAGAACTTCAATTACACCAGCGGCTGGAGCAGGAACCTGCACAGATGTCTACGTAGAAAAAATAAATAGCTGCTGAATGTAAGAGGGAGATAAACAAACAAAAGTCTGGTCTTGAAGAGAGCTGAATGCTACATTCATAGAATACCTCAACAAAAATAATGAAAACAAACTCAGTTCCACGCAAATATCACAACCTGATCAACATTCTAGAAATCAACTTGCCGAGTTTTACTGTCATTTAAAATATTTCTTTGCATATTCATTAAATTCCTGAAAGAAATCAGTAATTTAATGTTTAAGAATCAACTTTCATTGTGGTGCAGAAAATCCAAGAAAAGTAAAGGCCATAACATTCCTAACTGAAAGCTAAGAATGCTCTTTATATTCAAAAGTTACATTATTAAATTTAGTTTACTGCCTTCTACTCGGAATAGTATAATATAGGGGTTTGCAGAAAGCAGTTCATGATGTACTGATAAAACTTTGCAATTTATCAGGAAAAAGGTTTGAATTCTAGTTGTTTAGAACAGGGGTCCCGAACCTTTTCTGGGTGGGCAGCCCGGTGGGAAAGGGAGGGGCAGGCACCTTTATGCATGCATATTCACACAGCAAATGTGACTATGTGAGTGTGCGCCAGAGCATGTGTGCTCTGCAAATGAGGCTGCTAGTGTCGGTGCATGTCTCGGCCCTGTGGCAAGAGGCTCAGGGCTCGGCTAGCGGCAATGAGAAGCTCGCGGCTTGGCTATCCCGGCAAGAGGCTCGAAGCTCATGGCTCAGTTAGTGCTGGTGAGAGACTTGCAGCTCGGCTAGCATGGTTGCAAGGGGCGGCATGTGCAGATGCGTGCGTGGACTGGTCAGCCCTACGCAGCCCAGTGGCCAAGAGGCCGGGGCCGGTAATGGGCTGCGGCCCATAAGTTGGGGGCCTCTGGTTTAGAAATAGCAGCACCAATATAGCTTCCAGATACTAAAAAAGGTTAATTGTTGAAATAAAGAAAGCTTGAAAAATAAAATTGTGAGGAAGGAATATTTTGCAAGATTGGAACGCTCCAATGGATAAAGCACCAAACTAGAACAGCAGAGGCTATTAAACAAATCTTGATTCAACTCTAACTTTTAAAAATGGGGGAAGAACTGTTTTTAATCTTTGATGGGAAGGAGAGTATTAAATGTGATTAACACAAGAAGCATGATGCAATTGATGCTGTTTTCTATGCACAAAGCCTGTTAACTGATGAAGCACCTGTGGTTTCTGCTTGTCTGGTATGTCTGACAGAGTGGGCATACCCTAGGGTTCCTGAATTAAACAATGTCATACTTTGGGATTCAGAAAACATGATTTCTCTGTAGCAATGCCTGCTATCTGGAATGAGCTTCCTCCCTTGACATCCATATGGCTCCCATCTTGATAATGTTCTGGAAGACTTGAAAAATTGGCTATTTACTCAAGCCTTGGGGTAGGGTGGATGAGATTCGTCTGTACATAATATTCTTTGTTTTGCTTTATTAACTGGTTTGCCATCTTGTAATTATTTTGTAGCTATATTTGTACTTATTTCTGTTAATTTTTTGCATTCTGTTATTTTTATGTTATTCTCATTGTTGTGAGCTGTCTAGAATCAGCTGGAGCCATCTGGCATCAAAATTTAATCAATCTGAGTAAATAGTACAGATTTGCAGTTAGGGGTTCTTACGACCTTGATAAGGCCAATAGATTTCATAAATTCAAAACATTTCTTCCCTGGGCTCAAATGTTCACTTTGCCTCTGGTGATAATCATTATCATGAATAAGATGACAAAACATTTAGAGTTGCTTTTAGTGAGATGGTGGCTATATAAATTTGATTACTAAAATTAAAAAATTACCTTGTCGGTTTCAATCTCACATACCACTTCATCTTCTACTACAGTATCCCCAACAGCTAAAAAATGAAAAGAACAGGACATAAACAAGGAGTTGTGTTGTGGCATTTCCTTCCCTAATTTTTATACACATCTCCTTAAGGTAGACTTAAAACATCAACACAGGTTAAAAAGGCATACTTCATTTTGTAAGCAACTGAACTAGTAACCAATAACAGGTCTGATCAATCTTCACCTACATAATAAAAGTATTCAGAACATTTTTAATTACATGAATATTTAACATATTTTCCTAACAGGCTATGAAAAACGTATGATGGGATGGGGAGAAGATTAGAGCAATGAAAGAAAAAAAAATCCTCTTACCTTTTTCCCACCTGACATCTCCCTCTGTGACAGATTCTGCAAATGCTGGTGTGTTCACTGTGACAACTTCCTCCCCTGTGAAAGATGCATGTAGTAAAATGCTTCACATTTTGGCATTTCATTCCTCGGGAGCGATGGATAAATACAATTTAGAGAAAATGCTAATCATAAAGAAAAAGTGCCATAATTTAAATAATTCCATATTATCAGTTCTCATCAGATGTGTAGACCACCTTCTAGCATTCCACAATCAGCATGGCTATTAATAATTCTGGGAAATAAGTTTTTCATATATAGAGGGGGTCTAGGTTGGGGAAGGCTATCATATAACTTCTATTGAGGCCACTTCTCTCTTGAATATCAGTTCCACCCATTTGTTTTTGGATAATTATTTTTTCTCACCCATAAAACTGTAATTGGTTGGCCATCCAATAAAATTAGTCAGCATTTATTCAGACTGATCAAAATAAAATACTAAAAGGACAAACCATACATTTCTCAAATCAGGAAATGTATGGTTTGTCCTTTTAGTATTTTACTATTTAGTATTTTACTATTTAGTATTTTACTACTTAGTTTATATTGTTCTGGATAACAGTCACGCATTGATGATTTTATTAAAAATACTGCTTGAACAAGAAAAATGCAGAAATGTTCCATTATGCCAAAGTCCAATGATCCATGGCATAAAACATACATTAAGCCTTACTTAAATGTACGAAAGATGTAAACTAAATTAGGGAACAAGGTTACATGATTTTAGCAGGAAGAAAATTGGCATGTAGATCAAATGTTCCGCTGCCTGCAGGCCTCTGGCTTACTTACTGCATACTTTTGAAGTTCTGAAATAACGGATAGTGAAGACACGAGAACCATTTAGCCTGCAGAGCAAGAAAAGCAATATCAGTGTACAAATAGTACATATTTGTATCTGCTGTCTTGATTGGCTTGACTGTCCATCAGTAGCCCCACCACTATTTTTAACTTGCTCACTGATTCATGTACCTGCAAGCATAGATCCTGAAGCATTTCAGGAAGGGATGGCCTGTGACTAAAATTCACCTCTGTGTCTATGTATACATGCGTGCACGTGTACACACACACACACACACACACACACACACACACACACAAATTATTTAGCATAGGATCATAGAAAGCCTTAATCCCTATAGCTGAAATTGGGTACTATCAACATATTGTTGACATCCAAATCTTTTTCTCTACAACATCTTCCAATAAAGATGTGGCTCCCTTGAATATCAGCTCACATTTGATAATTGGCTGGATGAGGAAAAATAGTATTAAATCGAATCCTGGCAAGATGGAGCTGCTCACTGCAACTCCAGAGATCCAGCCTTTTCCCACAGGGGCAGACGAAATGCAGCTATGATTTAACAGACTGCACATTAGACCATAAATAAAAGCATTTAGAGATTCTGTATTTACACTGCAGACCAAGTGTAGAATTCCACAATCAGAAATTTCAAAAGTATTTTTTTTTTAAAGTTTTGGAAACAGGAGGGTAGATAGGGTTCAATAGTCTAGCTATCATGTTATGCTATGTGAACTACTCAAATAAATTGTATACAAAGATAATAACCTGATTCAAATATCCAAATAGCTTAAAAATTCTGCTATTCTTGGCTCAACGTCTGATTTGCTCTGGCATAAGGTATTTTCAACCAAGGTATACCAAAACCTCTCTGCAAGTATAATCTAATTAACAATTAGTTCAGTAGCAATTAGGTTGTGCCAATTCATTTGCTGACTTCATAAGTTAGATACTTACAAATGCTTCCTGCTGTTAGCATACACCAGAGCCTGGCATCGAGAAATCCCTGTAAAGCAGAAAGCACTTTAACTAAGTATCAGGTTACCAAGTCACTTAGTACAGTCCTGTATAGCAAAGACAAGGAGATTTAAATGACATAGAAATCAGAAAGGACAACAGTTGATTGTCTCTAGAAAAACACTATAGTTGTTCATACTCAATTAATGTATTTCTGTAAAGCCAGTCCGATATTAAAAGTTGACCAAAGAGATAAAGTTAATGTTTAAGAAATAAAGAATATGCTGATGCTATCCAGACTATGTAATGAAAATAATAAAATGCTACAGAATCACTCTATTCAATTAATAGCCTTGACTATCTGGTATACAGGTAGCTTTAAAGGCACAATGATGTTTCTAGGTTTCTATTTTTAACAATCACACTGCACAAATCAGCTCATTAATGCAATAATTTGCTATTCAACAACTGGCTTGTAAATGATCACTGTTAGTATCATCAGTGTTTGTACTTCCCTACTAACCTACTGTATATAATCTCTCTACCAAACAATGACTCCATCCTCCATCCATCCATCCCAGGATATCATCTCATGTCTCTGATAAAATGGACTCTTGTCCTTAGTAGTTTTTATCAAAATAAATTCACTAAATTCTTAAGTGCCCACAAGACTTTGCTATTGCTTAAACAGACTATCATATGAGTTTTCAATATTAATCAGGTTTACAATAAAATGGTCCAGAAATTTTTTTATTGGAAGGTATTGGTTATGATTAATTTATTAAATTACCCCAAAAAATAAAAGGAGGCTCCAAATACCTACAAACCAAGCACTGATTCAAACTAATTTGTTGCTCAAGTAGTAGTGAACCTATGAATATTTACACTCAGCAAGTTATGCCAAAATTTATTAGCCCACATGTGCTTTTGCAGGATTTAGCAATGCTTTCCAAAAAAATGTGAATAGAACAAGGATAAACACTAAATTTGATTTGACCTAGTTAAAAATTAAATATAGTAAAAATGATTAATACATGATTGGAAAAGGTGCTTTTTAGATGAAGCATCTTGAACACAATCTCAACCAAATGAGTCAGAAATACGTGACAGCTGTTTTCCTATATATATATATATATATATATATATATATATATATATATATATATATATATATATATAAATTTACGATGAACAGAATTAATATTTGCCACCTGTCAATTCATAGATCTTAAGCAGATCCTTTATTTCATACTGAACTTATCAGGACTTGCAAAAAAAAACAAAAAAACCCAGCTACTTTTATGTTATTCTTTGTTTATATTACTCTAATTCTGTACAAGGATTTGCTCATTGATTGAACTAGCTATTTATTCTACATAACTATTCTCTGGCTGCTCTATCAACACATGGAGAGGTTTTTTTCATATTATTTTAATAGCCATCTTATTAAAACATATTTTATTTCTTATTGTAGTCTATAGCAAAGTTTTGATTAGATTTTTCTTGTTACAGCATTATGATATGCCCAATCCTACATAAAACTCACCAGAGAGCCAACGCTTTGCCTGTGGACAGTTTCCCTGCCAAAGAAAAAAAATAATAGAAATCACCAATGCAAAGAGAAGTTAGGAATAATTTGACATGCCTAAAATCTCACAGAATTCAGTAAGATTTATTCCATGCAACATAGAATGAATAACTGCAATATTGACCTAGTTCACACAACATGCAAAAGAAACGTATCTTTTTATCTATAATTTAACAGAAATTGTATTTTGCAAACTACAGTTTATGACTTAGTGCTGTGTCACTCCTGTTGTTAGTCAACAAACCATGGTCAAAACATTTTATGGTTTAGAATGGGAAATAAGATACTATACCAGGGGTGTCAAATGCCGGCTCACGGGCCGGTTTCATCATTCCGGAGCCGCACCCATCCATTGCCGGCAATGGCGAAAAAGCTCTGATACATTGTGCGACGTCATGTGACGTCGTGAGTTTGACATGTCTGTACTACACTGTCATATGACATGACTTTTAAGCTTTTATATAAGGCTACTCTATATGGCAGAAATGAAATTCTTGGATTTAAACAATCATTGACACCAATTATTTTAAGATGTAAGATTATGATTCTTTGATTATGTTCACATTACTTGTTATACCATGTTTTACTCGGCCATAGGTTACTGAACAGACTTCAACCATCTGCGTTCCCATATGTTAAATCTGAATTGCCAGATACACAGCCAGGATACTGCTCCAGGCTCCAGTGTGCCCTCAAATATAATCTTCTTTATTTGGATATTTAAGTTTTAAAAAAGAAGTATAAGAAGTTTGTATGCTAAAGTGAAAAGTCTCACCTACCAACAATATCGTTCTCTCTAAAAAATGGTTCAGGACTCCATATGGGAATCACTAGCTTTCTCTGAAAATAAAAATGTACTTTGTTTGGAAATGTGTCCATCTGCCCTGCTCCAACCAACAAGTTGGGAAAATGGCATTCTAGTAACTCAGTTCATAAACGGTTCATACAGCCAGCTCACTCACACAGTCCAATTACAAATAGCCACGGCCCAGGTTGAAAAGCCCTGATCTAGGCTGCTCAACTGCCAATGTCCCTGGGAAACTTACAACATATAATTAAAAAGTTTATCCAATAGGCTCCCTTTCATTCTGTCACAAAGCCCTAGGAGAATCTGACCAGTTCTGACCAATCCTCACAAGTACTCCCATTTACTATTTAAAACAACTTTTTAGTTCTTTCTAGACACACAAATCATTCTTCATGTACAGTAGTGACTTAGAGGGTCTGTTATAATTTAATCATCATTGTTCTTACATACTGTAATGATATCGAGAAAAGGCTTTATATTACCTCAATATGGGCTGTATGAAAATATACTAAGTTTCTTCTAGTGAAGAAACGGGCTACATCCCAATAAATATATTTCTTATCACTTCTCAAAATACACTGTTGTATTGTAGAATAATGAAGAAAATATACTAGAGACTAGACAACAATTGTACTTTATGGGGTGGCTGCTAATGAGCAGCATGCTAGCCTTAAAGAGCTTTGTGAATCCATTTGGAAATATATCTGAAAGGCATTGTTATTTATATTTTGTATTTCTAAACCTCCTTCAAAGAGTACAGAGTGTGTACACAGTACAGTCTTGGTGTGACAGAATCTGGAGGAGTGAAATATTGATAACCATCACTAAAGAGAACCTCATTATGCATATTTGAAAATATTTAAATTTGCTTTATACAGGGAGATTAAATTAAAATAAAGATGAAAGACAGCTGGGTGACCTTAGGCCAGTCACACCCACTCTCTCAGCTCAACCCACCTCACAGGGTTGCTGTGGAGGAACATAGGGGAAGGAAGGGCGTTTTGGATATGGATATGTTCGCCAACTAAAGCTGCAGAGATCCGTGCTATAAGGGCAACTGGGGGTCAAATGACTAGAATTCTTTATTAAAACCCCGTTTCTCTCGCACATTCTGGGCCAAGAGGAATCTCGCCGTATTTCAACCTTCAGAGCCACCTTCGTGCCCGGCAAGTTTCCTTGCAAGTCTCGGCCTTGCGAAGTCCCAAGATTTCCAACCCCAGTTCGCCCCTTTCGAACAGGACTTCGCCCGTTCAAAGTGATTTGCCTCGAACTGGCAAGACGCCGTGTCCTTGCCCCAGCTGGGCGTGGATCTTCTGGGAGGCTCCTTAGAAAATAAGCCGCTATTCCTCGCACTTATAACCAAGCACCGGCTAATAAGGGAGCAATAAAGACCTCTCCCTCTCTGCTGCCCCCCGCCCCTCCCCAGTGCCCTTGGGGCCGCTCCCCCATCTCAGCCCCTTGGCTCCCAAGCACCGACCCCTCTGCCAGCCTGCCATTCTTGCTCGCGAGCTACCTGCTGAACGGCACAGAGCGAACGGCCGAACACCCGGGTGAAGCAACGAGCCCGGACTAGAGAAACTAACAACATCGCGGCGGCAACAACGGCAAAAGGATGAATTCCAGGGCGCACGCCGGAACCAGGCCCGGCGGAGGCCGGATGCGAGTTGGGACCGACCAACAGTGGCCAACGGTAGAGGGCGAATTAAGCGGGACGTACCAATTGAGGCAAACCGAACCAGAGAGGGAGCGTGGATAGGCTGGATCGTCCTAGAACTAGCTGAGAGATAGAGGAGTGGCTTTGGAGATAGGCGCCTGAAGTGTAGAGTTGGTCCTTAAGCGGTGTGTAACTAATCTATATGGAAAGTCATTTTTCTCTGAAAGCGGAGGGAAAGTCACCTGCGAGAAACAACGAAAGAAGCCTCTGTTTTAAACCAGATGACATCGTGAAACAAGCCGCTTCTTATACGGACCATAACGGAAAAGGAGCAACACATTTAAGCCAAACCTCAGATCTTATGGCGTGTGGGTCTACATAGGCGTCTATGGGGAGGAAATAGGACCGAAACCTCCAGCCCACGAGCCAGCAGCAGAGCGGATAGCATACAATGCGCTGCTCTCGGTACCGATCACTGTTGTGCCCTAGGCATGAGGCTGAGACGGGCGGTCATTAGCATTTTGATTATCATTTCCTTTCCCACCGAGCATCACCCGCCAACAGAGGAAAAAGAGCTGACTCTTCTTAAAGTGGGATGGGAGGAGGATCGGTGTGCTTAGGTGGCTCTCCGAATAGGCGGTGTTATCGCTTGTTTCGCCTGAATTCTGAAAGAGCACTATAGTGTGTCCAGAAATAGCCTGGCTGACACCTGCAGAGGAAAATGCATACAAGACAGTTAAAGGACATCCATGCAGTTGTAAACCCACTTCTTTTTAGCATGTGTTCCACCAAAATGGATTAGAGCATTGACTGCATGGTTGTGGCTGACATTTTGACTTTTCAACCCCCTCCCCCCACGGAGGCCTCTGATGGTGCTGGTAGCAAGTGACTATAGCTAGTATTGGAAATAGCCAAAATGACATCCCACCACACCAAAGTCATGTAAACAGAGCTACGAAGAAGCAGGTGAAAATCTGCAATGGATTCATTGTTGACATAATCAGCAACAGAGAAGTAGTTGTGTGGAATAGCAGCCAAAGTCAGTGCAATTGTTTATTATCAGTAACAGTACTGTCATTCAAAGTATAGTTTATTATTAGGGCATGGGAAATAATAACACTTTCCCACAGAAACCTTCATTTTTCTATGCATCTGTTTGTCACAAAATATCCACAAGCATCCTAGGAACAATGATTCTTAACCCATAATATTATTTATCCAGTGGCCCAACACTAATGCTATGCTATGCTATGCTATGCTATGCTATGCTATGCTATGCTATGCTATGCTATGCTATGCTATGCTATGCTATGCTATGCTATGCTATGCTATCATTATTGCTTCCAGCACTCTCTTCAGAAGTATAGCATCTCAAGCCTTCCTGTGTACTGGGAAAATGCAATAGAAGACATGGATTTTGGTTCCTTTTGCATATTCATAGGCTCATCAAACTGGTTGGCTGTTCTTGATTTCCCTCATTCCCTATCTATGACTCTGATACAGTAATATTGACAGCTCTGCCCCTTTCTCATTTAACAGCAGGCTTCAGATGCTTTGAAAGGACAAGGCAGCCAAGGTGAGTGTTTTATGTCTGGGAACGGAAGAAAAGGCATCAATGTCAGGTAGTCTATTGGTGGAGGGGTGCTGTATTTTTTTTCCCCTTCTTAAAAGTTTGACTTTATATATTTGCAAATGTGCCTTTTTACAGTTTTTTTCTTGTAAATTTATTTTCTTTGTATTATTTTTATAACTATAGTTCTGAGGTTAGCTTTGATCAAAGTTACCTTTGATCATTGGTCGCATCTTATTCGATGTGACTCAAACCCTTATCACCAGATATTTGGAGAGAATATTAAACTGGAAAAGGGTTCACTGTTAGGTACCTACATATTTGTCTTCATTCAGAGGAGTAAAGCAAGGTATGAAAGTGCAAGTAATAATTCATAAAATTAATATAGCCAATGAGCACAAATTAAGAGACTGAATTAATGTATGTCATATTCCAAAGTAATCACATTCTTGGAATCCAATTCAGCAACGAGACTATAGTGTTTTACAGAAAAAGTACTTAAAGGGAGTAGCAGATACATACAGATTACCGAAAAAAAGTACTTTTTCATTTTAGTGTCACAAAATGTCATCATAATACTGATGGGAGCCAGTAATACTTTTTTTGTGACTTTTGGAACAGAAAAATCAATATACAACCTAGATGTAGATAAGGTCCAATAAAATGAACTTTTAAACCTGATAAAATAGATGCATTTGGATCTAATATTCCTTGGACTTGAAATTAGAGAAATTATTTGATATGGATCCCCTGCAGGTTGGGGGTGCTCCCAAACTATCGTTGTTAGCTGGATACCTTGCTGACCCCAGTATTTATGACCATCTATTGTTAATCTATGTTGGTATACAAGATCTGCCCATTTCTAGACATGGCACTGGGCTACAGTAATTCCTATGTTATACTCTCAAGAGGGATGCCTTTATTATAGTATTTGTTGCTGCTATGGAGACTTTCGCTTAGTGCAAAGAAAACATTACTGAATTACTGGCTGACATTCCTTACTGTGCACATATTGCATTTGTGCTAATAATCTACATGAGTGATCAGTATGGTATTAATTCAGCTTCAGCATATTGGGCAGGGAGAGATAAAGGTAGTCAAGCTTGATTTCTGGTAATATCAATATAGCCATGAATAGCTATGCTTTCTTCTGGATGTTTTTCAGTTCTCAATCTAGCTTACACTCTTGGTATTCTCTAGTAATCTTCCATCTGAGTACTGACCACACCAGTAATCTATTCTAAGCAAATTCATGAATAGTTTATGTTTACTTTATTAGTGTTTCAAATTCATTAACAGAAAAGAAATATACATGTGAATAATGCAAGATAATATCAACTTTACCCCACAAAAAGGAGGGAAAAACTTGCAAAATTACTAACAGTTTCCCCCCCAAATGATCATGTTTTCTTCCTGTCCTATTTGTCGAAAACTAATCAAAACACACAGAGAAATAATAATAAAAACTAATGCAAATAGTAAATATCAACAATCCATTTTTGTATATCTGTTTCCAATGTTGTACAGGTAGTCCTCAAAGAAGTTACAAACTTCATTAAAAAAAAGTAACTTCTGGCTGTTTTTCAACTTATGATTGTTGCAGCATCCCCCTGTCACGTGATCAAAATTTAGGCACTTGGCAACTGGCATGTATTTGTGACAGATGGACTCATGTAATCACAGTCTGCAACCTTCTCAGCTGGCTTCTGACAAGCAAAGTCAATGGGGAAGCCAGATTCACTGAACAAGCACGTTACTAATGTAATAACTATGGTGATTCACTTAACAACTGTGGCAAAAAAGATTGTAAAATGGGGCAAAACTCACTTGACAACTGCCTGGCTTAACAAGAGAAAATTTAGGCTGTGTTGTGGCTATTAAGTTGAGGACTACCTGAATTATACTTTTTTACCAGATCCCATGTCCAAGATGTCCAGAAATCTTGATAAATTCAAAATACTAGGGATATATCCAAGAAAATAAATTGATATAGTGATAATTCAATTAATCCCATTACACTGTGAACCTGTTAGCAAAGATTGTTTTCTTCATATTCATCTGCAAGCCTCTCTTTAGGAATGCTTTAAACATACTAACTTGGGCAAGGTGTAACATTTAATCTACAAACACGTAGATTAGCCTGCTCTGTTTTTCTTGCAGTATTTTAACTGTAGAATCCTCAGACCTGATAGTTTGTACACTGACAGTTAATTTCATATGTGTGTTTACATACTAGATAATATATTTTAATCTTTCTTTCTGCTTCAGATTCTTGGCTAATTAAAGTATAAAAACAAAGTTTTTTATTCACAAGGCACCTGTGCTCTCAAAATCAAAAGTTGTATTTTCCGCTCTAATTGTCACTATTTTGCCGGCTATCAATTCTTTGTCCTGAAAGAAGAAAGGGAGATGAATGTGAATAGTATTGCTAATCAATATAATTATATTCCTAGTTCTGTATGTGTAGATGAACAAAAAGGAGAGTTTTGCATTGAAGGAAATTATTCTTTTCGCCCTCATTATGGATCCATAATATCACATCTTCTTAATCGGCCAGAAGTAAATAGTGAGCTAGATATAAGCTTTCTTCTCCCCTCCTCACAGAAAACTGAACACCCATCTTCTAGGAAAGCTAATGCCATGAGTCCATTGCCTGCCTATGGCTTTGGTAACACAAATCAGTCCCATAATGAACAACTACAAGCTAAGAAGGCTAGAGTGGAAAATATTATCCAGGGAATGAATATCATGTCAAACCCAATAGTGTCTGGTACGCTGGAAGAACAGCATCACCAAAATTTTGAGAAAGGAAAGGAAAGCTATAGGCAAAACAAGAGAAAACAGAAACTTCCTCAACAGCAAAGTTTGCCAGGAATTTCCCTAACACGACCTCCTAGAAGCAGCATCTCAGCAGAAGAATTCCTTCAGCTGAAAAAACAGCTCCATGCTTTGCAACATCAGTTGAAGCAACTTGGAGAGAGGCTTCTTCAACATGATGTGGAAAATGATTCTAATCTAATCCAAGAAAGTATAGAGAGAACTATGGGCTTGTTGAAGATGTATGGTGGAAAGATAGACACCAACAGTCAAGTGTTCTGTTGTGATCAACATAAAGATTATTTATGGAACAGCACACCCAGAATAAGAGAGCTTGTGCTGTCAGAGAAAGAAGATATAGGCATTCAAAATTTGGAGGAGAAAACGCTTTCAGAAATATTAAGACAAGAATTAACACAGGTAATGACACATGCTGTAGATTCAGTTTTGAAAAAGATCTTGCCTAAATCATCGAGCCTTCAATCTCAGTTGCCCAATAATTCCATAGGGACAGCTGTTGGAAGAAATATACCCAGTAAATGGCTTCCTAAGATTTCTTCTCCTAAAGGTCCTATATCATTAATCACAGAAAAGTCTCCAGGCTTTCCTATTCATTCCACCCAAACAAAAATGGAGAGAAAACCTTGCCAGGCACCAGAGAATTACCCCTTGATCTTGACCTCTGAAGTTCAAAAAAATGGCATTCTTAGTCAAATGCTATTCTGTGGTCAAAAAAGCCATTGGGACAGTCCTCCTCCAAGAATGGTATCTCCTGAGTCTTTAGAAGTGCCATGGCAACCAATCAAACTGAAGTCATCAGGCATGAAACAACAATATCCACCTTCCCTGGGAAATTTGGCTTCTCTTCCTTCTACAAACTCAATGTTTGCTGAAATGCATGCCATGGTGGATGGAGTGTATTTCTCAGCAAGAAATATATCCTTTAGGGGTCTTTAAAACCTCTTTACATAGGGTGGGGTAAAGCACTATCACCATTTAGGATATGGGATACAACTTGTATGCAGCTCATTAACACCTATGTAATATTCTCCAAACATTTCTGAAGTGGTCAGAGTCCATCTTTCCTGACACTTCAAATGAAATGAGGGCTTTATTTGTTGCATTTTATCCTCCTTAAAAAAGTGACACTGCATATAAAAGATTGGGCCTATTTTTGCCAAGGGGTAAGGGACTAAAGGCAATACTTAAGACATTGTTCCCTTTGGAACCTCCAAAAACATTTTGAAAAGTTTATTTCTGCCTGTAGCCACATGCCTTTAGTTGCCATTTGCCAAACAAATTAATAGTGCATTACTTATAAGAAAGATGTTTGAATGCTATTACGTTGATGTAAAGCCTGCACTGTGCTATTTCCATTTACTCTGTAAAATGAATTTAAATGCCTACTTAAAACGAAAGCTGCCACTGCAGATAGAAATGTTATACGATACTGGATTATACTCAAGGCTACTTTTATGGCAATGAGTTAACTGACTTCTACTTTCATCAATCGGATGAAGCATAAAATCAAAAATAGGTCTCTTGCTAGTCTCCATTGCATGGGATTAAGACACAATATTTCCATTATAGTGGCACTATTGGGCATCTTTATATTCTGGCAGAGATACCACCCTTTAGATGCTAGTCTGTATTTCTCCACATGTCCTCCAAGACAGATCCTAGATTTTTTCCTTCAAAGTCCCGCCTGATAACATTGCTATTGTATTGATATAGAATACACCAATAGAAAGGAATCTCATGAGGACAGCATGTAGCATTAATGGGACTGTGCAGAGTATCTGATTTGAGGAGCACAGTAGAATCTGGAGCACACCTGTGCTTCCAAACAGCATCTGCTCCTGAAAACACTTTAAAGCAAAAAAATGTTTTGTTGGGCTTGCCTGGGAGCCATCTGCAGCAGATTTGTAATGGCAGAAAAAGTTGTTTTTAATATAAGGCATCCCCAATAGGTGCTACATATCCTCTTCTATGAATCCAGATAGCTGTACAGCCCCACGTTGGGCAAATAATGTTTTCCTTGACTCCAGTTTAAATCCAGGAAGCTTTGACCCCAGGCCATCTGAAAAAGGCTAAACTGATGTTCTTCTTCTCACGCTATCCCACATCTTCCCTGCTGAAGTCTTATTTTCTAGATATACAGGTAAGCTTAACTTTATTGCTAACATATAACAGATTCTCCAACATCCCTCTCAGCTTAGCACGGATGCTTGTGAAAAGTGGAAAGGTAAGCAAAGATGATGCAAAACTTAAGTACCAATCATATTATGTCCAAGTGTGTACAAAATAATTGCAGATTTACACTGTATATGTGGCCTTTGCTTAATGACCACTTGTTCAGAAACTATTTGAACCTATATCCGCACTGAACAAGTGGTACTAATGACCTCCTTGAAGTTCTGGCTGTTGCAGTATCCCTGAGCTCATGTGATTGCAATTGGCTCATGATTATGACATTGCAGCAGTCTGTGGTCATGTGATCACCCTCTGCATCCATCTCTCTCAGCTTTCTACAAGCAAAGTCAATGGGGAAGCCAGCAGAAAATTTCAAGTGGTGGCCCGTGATGCCCTTACTTAACAATCCAGAGTGATTTGCTTAATAACGGCAAGTTGAAGTGCTGGAATTTCTGTCACTAAATACATGATCACGTGACATTATCCTTTTCTACTGTGTTTCTTAGTGATGGAGATTCCAGGCCCAATTACTTCATTATGCAAGGACTACCTAGAGCATTCTGGGAGTTGAAGTCCGCAAGTCTTAAAGTTGCCAAGATTGAGAACCCCTGACCTAGAGGGAATGTTTTCAGAGGAAGCACATACATAGATATAATACAACATAGTGTCCAGAGAAAACAGAAGTTAGCATATAATGCCATGTTAACTGCTCTTTTTAACAGTTTACTCGCTGTATCACCTCCCAGCTCATCAAGTGGTTCAGCAATTTCCGTGAATTTTATTATATCCAGATGGAAAAATTTGCAAGGCAAGCTCTCTTGGAAGGTATTACAGAACTCAGTGATCTTATTGTTACCAGGGACTCTGAGCTCTTCCGGATCCTTAATGTCCATTACAACAAAGGGAATGATTTTAAGGTGAGACTATATTTGAACAGTATAGAAAAAAGCACCATCCACAATCTCTTCAAATCAGAATACCACAGAGATCACTGTAGCTTACAATTATTATTCATTGAGCATCTGTAATTGAGGAAGTTGTATCACAGCCCTGCATCTTGAAAAACTGATACTGATTACATTCTGATCCTACTATATAGAGACTTAAAGGGTTGAAATACTAACTGAATTATCTAATAAGAGTAACAGATGTTTCTTATTCCAAATAGATTTAATGATGTAGCAGTAGCTACTTAAATTATAGCCACATCATGTGGTGTGTAAGTACTAGAGCAGTTGTTCACGCTTTACAGTCTTCTCTGTGATTGTTCTGCTACTGTCGAATGCACAGCCCCAAATTCATACTGGATTCTTTGTCATATTTTGTTAAGGAGGAGCTTAAGACTAAGTGTATTTTTGTTATTCTGAGGATGGATTTTTATATTATGTTTTTAGATTGTGAACCATACCAAGTTATTTAGAGAAGAGGTACAGAACAGTACATAATGGAATAATTAAATAAGAATGTCTGCATGGATGAGTCCCTGCTTGGCATGATCCTGTTCTGATATCAAACCATAAATGGTTAGGGGTAGAAGGAATTAGGACCAAGAATTGACAACCTATCAGTTATGGTATAAAATTAATGATATCTTGGGGAACATAGGCAGTTTCTGTCAAACACTGCAGTGCAATAGCTTTGCTAAAATGAGGCTGATCATTGACCATACAGGTGTCAAATTAATAAACTTTTCCTAAACTTTTCATTCTATCTTTACAGGTTCCTGATGGTTTCTTGGATGTTGCCAATCTGACCCTTCAGGAATTCTTTACTGCTGTCAGAGCAGGGCGGGATTTGGATCCTTCCTGGAAAAAACCAATTTACAAAATAATTTCCAAGCTTGATAGTGAGATTCCAGATGTATTTAAATCCTCTAACTGCCCTAAGGAATTCACCCAAGATTAATGTACAGTGGGCATGGCATGTGGCTGATTCTACATTCACTGCTGTGTAAGTTTTGACTGCATACTAACACAGCAGTTGAAATCTGAATCAACAGAGAAGGCACGATCAGTAATATTTTATAAATATATGAAAGGGACATCATGTGATTGACTGCAGAAACCTTTTCTGCTGTATCCCTCAGTTTTGTGTTTTATTACTTATTTATTAAACAAACATATTTATTAAGCAAACTGATATAGCTGCCCATCTACCAAAAAGGAACACTGTGCAGCAACAGAATATAGTACTGTACACTAAAAAAAGATCATGGGGCCCCAATAAAACTTGCAATCATTTAACCATCTCCATTTACTCCACCATTGGAGCCATCCTAGATCCAGTGCCTTGGAGAAAATCCAAGTCTTCATTATTTTTCTGAAGGCCAATTGGGCTGGGGCCATTGGTATCTCTGGGTAGAGGCTGTTTCGTAAGTCAGGTGCCATGCAGAGAAGGCAAGCTGCACTGAAGCCCTAGTAGGCAATATTGTTTCATCAAGGATTATTTTCTACAATCCTACTAAATCTCCTTTGAAAGAGAATGCTGAGCCAAGCTATAGCATGATCAGTCAATAGTATGGGCCAATAAATGATAAATGCGATGCATTTTCTTGAAATCTATTGAATTAAATATTTACAAGGTAATACTTCTGTACAGTTATCTAATACATCCATATAAGTTTTATTTTTTTTTCTCAGAATATATACCCATAAAATACTCTGTTGTCTCAATCTGATTGGAATTTAGGCATGCTCTAATTTTCTTTGATGGTCCTAACCAGTGCATTTTTTCTATATATATATATAGAAAAAAAAAGGTGCCAGAACTCACACACGTCATACAACCTGCCTTGCTTACCTTACAAGGTTCCATCCAAAAAAGGTGCCGGAACTCTGTTCTGGGTGTTCTATGAGAAAAAAAAGCCCTGGTCCTAACGGAATTTACAGAACCCTTGGCACAACGAATTAGCTACCTTTAGAAAACTAATGTTTTAAAAAGAGGGTCATGATATGTATTATTAAATAGCATCTACATTAATACCTTCTGGCACTCTTTCAAGAAAAAATGTATTCTTATTATGTTGATGTCTGTCATATTCGTGTCTTCATTTCATTCTCAGGCCATGAGTGAGACAACCTTAAGTCCTCCTTGATTGTACCAGGGTTAAAATACTATTTCCCTCCTAATTCTGGCAAAGCTCAAGCCTGAAGTTATGTAACATCTATTTCCCTAAGGAGGGAAATCAGATGACCGGCAGGATTGGAAAAGGCAACACTAGAGGCATGAAATGGATATGTAATGGGGACAGCGGATTTCATGCTGATATAAAAAAAATACTTACTGACTCAAAATGGGTGACTAGAACTTTACCTCAACTGTGGAAAAATACCTTTTGCTTTTACAGTTTCCTTTGTCTGCATCTCATTTCTGGCTCATGTCTTCTTAACTGGAAGAGCTGGTAAGAGTATGTCATCTCCTAGAGATTAGTAGTCCTTGCCTAATTACTTTAATTGGGATCACGTGATCATCCTGCTGAGTGATGGCAGTTCTGGTAGTCCTAGTTGTGGTCATTAAATTAATCATCTGCAGTCATTAAGTAAGACATCATGACCGTGATTTCAGACTTTCTACTTGCGTCCCCATTGACTTGTGGGAAAGCAACTGGGAAGGTGCAAGTGGCAGTCATAGGACACTGTGACAGTTGTAAGTGCGAGGACTGAGTTACCTTTTTCAGCAGTGTCTTAACTTCAGTCACTAAACGAATGGCTGTTAAGTGAAGACAATATGTACTTAAGTTCTCCACTGAGAAAGAATATCAAAATAAGCAAACAGTTTTCATAACAAGAGGGAAACATATCGAGGAATGATCAGCCATTACAATATTATAAACAACTCTCACATCTGCACAAATGTTTCCTGTTTCATCAGCTTTGTCTTAAAGCAACAAATGAATCTTCATCCTTGTTGTTCAGTTGCTGTGTCTGATTCTTTGCGATTCCACGGCATAGCATGTCAGCCCCCTCTGTCCTCTACTGCCTCCCGGAATTTGCTCAAATTCATGTTATTGCGTTGATGACACTATCCAAGCATCTCATCCTCTGCCATCCCTCTCTCTTTTTGCCCTCAATTTTTCCAACACCAGGGTGTTTTCCTATGAGTCCTCTCCTCTTATTAGGTGGCCAAAGTATTTGAGCTTTAGCTTCAGTATCTGTCCTTCCAAAGAACAGTCAGGGTTGATTTTCTTTAGGAATCTGAAGAAGGAAATGGCAACCCACTCCAGTGCCCTTGCCAAGAAAACTCCATGGACAGTAGCATCCTTAAGTTTGTATAAATTAAAGCGATCTATAGTATAGAGTTAATGCAGTATTAGTATCAATGTATTTCCAATGTATTTTTAGGAGCGTGAAAGCAGGACAGCAATCTAAACTGAGCTGATGATACAGGAGAAGGCCTTTCTAAACCTCCCCCCTCCCTTTTCTCCGCACTGGAAACTGAGCAGTGAAAAGAATCAGAATGGAGACAGATTAGGCTTTTCATAAGTCTCATCAAGCTACAGTATTGCTAAATATGATCTTGCTGAAGGTGAGTCACAGTGCAGGTGTGATGCTGAAAGGTTCCCTTTTGCTAGATTTGTGTGAGCAAGCATAGATAAGGTTGGAAATTATATCTGGGTTGTTTTTTGTTTTGTTTTTTTGAGAAAAAACAAAAGAACTTAAGACTTGATGCATATGATTTAATTTAATCATATAATGAATAGTTTTTTAAACTTATATACTGCCCATCTCTCAATAACCCTGGTAGCTCGTAACAATCGGACAAAAATTGTTACAAATTACAATAAAAAACAAAAAGAAAAAAGACAAGCATGATGAATTGAAGGGTTCCACCTTCCCTTGCCAAAAGAAAAGTCAGGATGAAAGGGTGAAAAGTCAGGTCTTCATGGCTTTTCTAAAGAACAGGAGGAGGGAGCACCTGGATCTTGGGGAGAACCTTGTTCCATAAGGCAGGTGCTACTTCAGAGGAGGCATACTTCCAGGATCCTGAAAAATGACATTATTTAATTGAACGGACCCAAAGATATCAAGGATCACATCCGCCAGGCAGATATAGCAGACGGACAGGTGTTCCCTCAAATAACCAGGCCCTATGGCAATTGCCCATTTCCCAAAAGGATAAGAACATAGGAAGCTGTTTTGTATCAGGTCACACTATCTGCCTATCCGGTGCTGTATTATTTAATTGAACAACAGTTTTCTGCAGCGTCAGTTGTTCCCTACATTAAAACTATCACATAGTATTTCATTTAAACTGTGCATTTGAAGTTTGTGCATTTTGCTTCTCAAATTCTCATCCTGACAGAAACAACTGGCTGACGGTAATGTCACTCATGTTTTCTTAATTAACTTACTTCATAGGGTTGTTATAAGAATAAAGAACTATATTTTGAGTTCCTTGGGAAAATGAATTAAAATGTAATAAATCAATAATCTTGCTGGACCTTTGCCTAGTTGCATTTTCTTATGAGTTAGCCGAATCAAAAAAAAATTAACAGACCAGCATTTCTATATTGTAAATTTAACATGGGTTCCATTGTGAAACAAGGAAAGATTATAACGGCCCTAGAAATACTGGATTTACAGTTATTTCTAACTGTAAATAACTGGGCATAAGATTTATGTAGAGTAGACTGCAATTTGGTCAACAGATCAAGTCACCTCAGTCAATCCAAACTGAGGATTGGATAAGAAGCAAGATTAGAAAGAGTTAATACGGTAAATCTCACGGGCTGCCATTGGAAATCAGCAACCAACTATATTGTTTTACTTCGTAGCATAATGAGTAAAAATCATAATTTAACAGGGAGCCCGTGAGGCATTGAAAACTCAAAGGACACCAAGACTCCCGAGGCTGCGGTTGAAATCCCCAAGGATTCAAAGGCACAAGGCCTGCTCCCCCAAACTCTTCTGTGAGGAGTTGCAGGTGTTGGGAGGAACTCCCCCGTTCGGTTCTTCCAGCCGGGATTCTCCTTGACGGCACAGTGCAGAAGAAATAGATCGTGAAGCCAGCTACCAGAAAGAGGTTTTATTTCGAGGATCAGCGTTGAGTGACAATTCAGCTCGAGTCCCCGGCTAGCTAGACAGAGTGATCTTTAAACAGGGGTTTTTATACCCTTTTGTGGTTTCCAAACTTGTCATTTCTGATTGGTAACAAACTTACCATTTCTAATTGGTGAGTTAAAATTTGTCTTTCTTGATTTGCTGGTTTGTGACTATTGTTAGTTCCTTTTTCTTGCCTAAAAGGTGTTAATTACTTTTATTGTTGTGTCCTGATTGCTGCTAGCTGGTTCCTCATTGTGTGTGTCAAGTGTTTGCTGTTTTAGCCTCAGGCTGCTGTTGACCCAGTTTAGTTGGGGTGTTCCTAGATTATTTCTTAGTTGGGCTGGGGAGGGGGTGTCCAACTCTCATCAATTCCCCCATTTTGGGCTATTACTGATGTATCAGTGATTAGCCCAACTGGTTCATATATACGGTAGTGGTGATCAATTTGGCACATCATGAGAGATGTTTTCTTGCTCTGTCCCTTGCTTCTGATGGGAGTTGTGCAGACCTTTAGGCATTTTAACCCTAAAGGTGCTAATTGGCATAGGCAACAAAGGAGGGTTCCACCTATTGCGACTGTGATTATACTAACAATGAGAATTTTCAACCAATGGGAGTCTGGTAACCATGAAAAGAGCCAGGAAAGGTTCCAGGATGACTGGTTGTGCCCAATGTTTTGTGCTAGTTCTCTTAAATGTTGGATGTCACCTTTAGCTTCCAGTCAGGTTTGCATACCCCCCAAAATTCTTCACAGCCATGGTTCTCCTTAGTACATGACCACTGGCTGCCCAGTTTCAAGGGTTGTTTCCTGCCTTAGCTCTTAATTCAGTGCATCCAGGTTTGTAATGTCCAATATGCCAGGCTATTAAATTTTTCTTTAAATTGCACATACTGAGCTCTAGGAATCCCAATCTGGGCTCACCAGTGCAAGATATTCAGGGCTGAAGTTTGGGATTTTTCCTATTGCTTCCTTAGTCAGGGCATATGAATTGCAAATCACCTGAGGGGGCCTAGTTCCCTCCCCCCTGGAATCTGTTGGAAGTTGGTCCCACAAAGCTTTGGTGCAATAGAGCAAAAATCAGCCTGAGGAACTTTACTAAAGGTAGGTGGAGGGGATAGACTCTGAATGGTGTGAATGGTGTATGTGTGCATATGCAGCTATTTCTACAAAACAGGCAATACAAACATTCTGGAAAAGTTTTCCCTCCCACCAGATAGAAGTCCAAGGTGTTCAGTACTTGTTCTATGACTTATTCTAAATGCCATCTCTCCATTAATACATTCAACTGGCTTGTTACAATACAAATGGGGCAAGAAAGAAAAGTTTACAATGAGTTTCCACCCTCCCCCCACAGTCTTAATTTTCTCTTCTGAGGCTTCACATGGCACCACCTTCCTTCTGCAGCTCTCACAGGCATCTGGGTAAATCGTAGGACTTGGGAAGATGTTCCCCACTCAGATTGCATGGTGGCTTTTTAGTGGATGGCTGGATTCAAAACTCAATTCCATGGCTCAAATGGATGGAGGCAGCATCTGGGTCTGTGTGTTCTGCTTCCAAAGGCTTGGGAGAGGGTTTCAGGGCTGAAAGATACAAGAACAAGGTCTCCCCCCGCTTTCTGGGTGGACTCTACCAGGAGAGGCAGACAAAAGGTATGGAGAACAAAGGACAGGAAAAGAATTGGAAGGGGGGTAGCTTGCAGGCAGTTTGAAAAGGGCATTAATACTGCAGTTATTAAACATAGACAAATGGGGAACAACAAAATGAAATGTTTCACCTTTGAACTTGACCATTTGCAACATATTATGGACAAGAACTTGCAACTTGAAAGGAAGAGGAGAAAAAAAATGCTAGGCAGCTTGAGAATGCTGAAAACTCCAAATAATTTTAAAAGCCTAATATTTTAAGGTGTGCAACTTTCCAGAGGTAGGAGAACATTTATTCTAAAATAGACCACATCATTTTAGAGATTGAGAAATGCTTATGTTTCAGAAAGCTTCATAGTAGTTTCACCAGTAAGTGATAGGATAAGAAAAGTAACTTAAGAAAATTATTTCCCCACACAAGCAGACTTGAGCTTCAAAAGGCTCTTGTAGATAGACACACATTTTTCAGGAAAAGGATAGATAAAACACATACAGTAAATGCAAGTGAAACTTTTCCAACAGATAAACTTAAAACAATCCCTCCAAGTAACTTAAGGCTGTTCTTGAGCGTACACAGAGACAGAGAAAAACAAACAAACAAACAAAAACAAACAAACACATTTTTTTTTCTTCACTCTGTTTGTTGGCCAGACAAACAGAGTGAGGTATTTCCTTTTTGTGGCTTATTTTTAAGCATAATTTCTAGCAGAATTTAAAATTCTTTTTCCTTTGGATTTGAAACAGTTAATAGTCACATTTACCTCTCACACAGACTTTGACAAACATATATACACAAAGACAAGAGAACAGAAGTCTTAGTTTTACACATCCTAGTCATTCCCACCATAAATTTCAGATAACTCAAGTTAGGGAAGGCACATATTTTAAACATACCACGTGGTTGCATAGAGAGAGAGAGAGAGAGAGATCACTATTTCTTATTTTCCCTTTTAAGTACCTTTATTTAGCCAAATTGGTTTCCCAGCAAGGCCCTAAGCAAAGTCTATTTTTTCTATACACTACACAGTCAAAGTCTCCTTGTGAGACTTCTTTCCTAACACAGTCGAAGTCTCCTTGTGAGACTTCTTTCCTAACACAGTCGAAGTCTCCTTGTGAGACTTCTTTCCAAACACAGTCGAAGTCTCCTTGTGAGACTTCTTTCCTAACACAGTCGAAGTTTCCTTGTGAGACCTCTTTCCTAATACAGTCAAAGTCTCCTTGTGAGACTTCTTTCCTAATACAGTTGAAGTCTTCTTATGAGACTTCTTTCCTAACAGTCGAAGTCTTCTTATGAGACTTCTTTCCAAACTTTGCTTTGCTTACAGGGCCTTACCAGCTAGTTGCCCAAATCCAATTCTTTCATTCACTCATTCCATTTCATTTTCACACAGTCTCTCCCTTTTCCCTAACAAAAGGTTCTGTGCTCTGGCCAACCCCCATGCTTTCCAGGTTCTGCCAATTAAACAGATCCTTTCTGCGGCTAGGAAAGACCAGAAGCAGCAAAATCCAACTGTGATTGGGAAAAAAAAAGTCTTCTCACTCACCCAAACAGAAATACACACATTTTCTTTGTTCCCCTGGGCTTTAAACTTAAAATTTAGAGGTACTCACCTTCACCTTCTTTCCAAAGCAGCCCTTGAGCTCAAACTCTCAAAACTCCCTTTACTACCCTAGCTCCACATGGGCAAGGCCTGGGAAACCCATCCACAGATACAAGGGGGTCTGCTGCTGGCAAGATGGGGCTTACCAGTCTCAGTCCATTGGAGAGGTTAGCTTGGAGTCCCATCTCGGGGTGCCAAATTGTTAGAAGTAAAGTCTTCATCCTGGTTCATCCAAGCCGGGAATAAATAAGCAAACATGGTGACTGCTTTGGGAAGAAGGTTACAGTTTATTGCAGAAAGATGGTTCTTCAGGAAAGTGCAGAGGAGAGAGAAGAACAGAGAGCACAGAGAGCGAAAAGGGGTGAGCACATGGGGCAGTAGGCTTTTATACCCCCTCTAGCCTTGTTTGGAATAGTTTCCTGTTCCTGTGGCATGAACTTTGAGGCTGTTTCTGAGTGTTTGTCTAGGCCTTGATATCTGTGGTTTAATTCTGTTATCATATCCTGCTTCCCAGGTGATGGGGCTGACTCCTAGAGTTTGGGTGGGGTATGCAGATCTTCTCTTTTGTCTTCTTGATTGCTCTAGCTCCAACTTTCTGATGGTTTTACATTTGCATTTGTATAGGGCTAAAGTCTTGCTTGGGGCAGAGAGATAGATTTGGGGCCAAGTTTGGTTTTAAAAAGTCCTTTTGAGGAAAAATATATTTTTCTGCCCTTTTTAATATTTCCTTCTGGGTTTTTAAGTAATAAAGCAATCTCACAAAACAAGGGAGTTAATACCCATCCTTGCATATTCCATAGGCCAGAATTCGAAATGCACAGGCATAAGCCATATTTTGGGGAACACTGGAACACGGTACATCTGTTCAAAAGTGAAAATGCTTTATATTAAATAGCTGCACCCCCAGTCGACATTTCAGGACTAGAGCAGGGTCCTCCGTAGCCTTCAATTCCACCCCTTCCCAGGGAGAGATGGAATAACTTTTCCAACTGCTTTCCTCCGAGACC